TATTTCTGTATGTTAGTATGTATAAGAACTCAATAAACAGATTGTATATGAAAAAAAAACCCCTTTTTATTGTTAAAAGTATAAGGAAGAACATCTTATGACCTAGAATTTACAGTCTTGACATTTGGCTATATCTAACAAATTCCCCACATAAGGCACAACACATAATTCCATGGAATTGTTTCTAATGAAAGCAAAAAATACAAACCCTTTGCTCAACCACTTCGCATCAAGCTCTTGATCGCTCTTTCTGATAAGGTCACACCAACTAAAACAAAAAGATCTACCCAATCTACCATTGAATTTGCTTCACAGTTGAATCATTGTGGAATGTGTAAAACCACGCCTATTTGGTAATGTTATTTAAGATATACATCTTGACGAAAATCATATGACCTTAGAGCCATTGAAGCATAAGATTGAGAATGAAGGTCGTAAATGTAGAACAACATCTGATGCAATTGAGAAGATTAAAACTTGTAAAGTATGTTTAGCACTGAACGCAACACAAAGACCACATAATGCCGAGACCTTAAGAAAAGCCATAAGACCATTAGAACGAATACACATGGATACATTAGGACCAATACCTACCCAAACATTTCGATCAGGGAGTTAAGGGGCATTTTTTTTGAAATAATATACGATTTCCTTTATAGTTTGTAGTCGACCTTACGTGCAACGGGCTCTCTAACCAACAGATTAGACGTCAAAGTAAGTGTTAAAGACCATCAGATTATATATCGTATAAGCAACAATCAATTACTCAATTACGTTTTTAAATTTGACATCAAACTACCCTGACAACCAAAAGATGACTGACGACAATTGACCTCCATCTGAAATAAAACTATTTACGAGACATGACTACTCCCATGTATTGAAGAGTCTTGAACAGTTTCTCCATTATCTGAACTGGTTGAGAGACGAGTATAACACTTATTGTAAACTGAACGTGGATGGAATTAAAGACTTTGATCCAGCAGTACCATCAACGATCTACTCACTTAAGAATGCAATATTACTGATTTGTAGGTATTATAAAGGACTTCAAAAAGTGTTGCAGGATCCTGATCACTTTGACCCACGAAAGGATGTAGTCACAAATTTATATGTTGACCAACCGAACTTATATGTGTACTTAATCGAACTGTTCTGTGAAAAAATTGCTGTTGGAATTTATAGCAGCAAAATGAAAGTCCATGAGATCTATAATGAAGGTGGAAGAAACTTGAACTTGAACGATATCTACAAATATGTTATCTTGGTGTTCATTTTGAGTGAATCCTAATTTCTTGAAGATGCTAATAAAAGTAATAAGCCATTCATAACCGGATTGCTTTAAACCATATACAGCTTTATCCAATAACCAACATTTAGTATTATCTTTATTGTATCCTGGTGGTGGAAATACATAACTCGGGCTCTCATTTGTAAGTACTGCATTTAAATAAGCTGATTTAATATCAACGTGATGGATTATCATATTCTTCTCTACTGCAATGGCTGTTAATAATCTTATGGATGCTAAATCAATTACTGAGGCCAGGATCTTAGTCGGATCATAGTCCACTCCTTCTCTTTGTTCGAAACCCTGGACAACACATCTGGCTTTATAAGCATCCCCTTTCAAATAATCTTTCGTATAGGTAAACACCCGCCTTGTGGTTATAGGTTTAACTCCTTCTGGAATTGGAACTTCTTGGAATACTTTCATATCATTAAATTTTTGGGTTTCTGCCCGTTTTGCTTTCACCCAATTTGGTTCGTTTGAATCTTTCATTTCAGCAACTGTGTTAATACATGAGACTGGAACTGGGATTATATTAAATAAATCATTTTCCAACTTTGATTCTCTTCCTGAAGGAATATACAAGTTTGTAATTCACTGGGTTGTGGAGTCAAGAATTAGTGGAATTACCCATTCATTTACGAGCTGCAGGTTTTAATACATATATTTTTTCCAAATTATATTTTAGAGATCTTCATCAGGCAATGACTAAGTCGGATGTGAAATACTTAACTTCCAGAATCAAACTGCTGTTTTTCAAAGGCATTGGAGAGGATATCTTCACATCATTGAATATACAAGGGGGTTTTGACCACCTCAGCCTGGGCAAGCAGCAAGCTCAATATGTTTGGCATACTCTTACGAACGATAATGATTGGAATTTTCGAATCTTTGGGCATACGTTCCAGGAATTTGTGAACACAATGGCAGACTCATATCAAGCTTCTCCGAACTACATTCTTACGATTCATTGGTACAAGTGCCTCACTGGTTTGACTAGTAACTATCAGGGTAAGGATATTTCTAGCATGGCTGCTGACAGTGATATTTTTACCCACACTGAGAAGGTCTATTTGGATGCCAGGTTTGGTTTAGTTGGCTCCACTTGACAATCGTGTACGACTCAGCCGTCGCATTTGCCTAATTCCGAATAGAGGGACTTCTTCAATTCACTCCCTTCTACTATTCTCCCTCCGTTATCTGGTGATATACCGGTGAATTTTTTCAACAGTCGTTCCAAGGAATTTAATCTTGAGGGTAAACAATGTGTCGTCACTGGGAGTTGGTCGAATCTTTGTGATTTGGATCCTGATAGTTGGGTTAAATTTTTGGCAAAAGGAAAACGCTGCTATCGATGCAGTTCACCGTCTCAACATTTTACCCATCACTCTGACCGCGAGTGTGAATTTTGTGGCCGCTATGTCTGGGTCAGCACGACACCTACCATGCTTATACGATATGTCTGGTTAGGAAGGTTACGATAACCTTTGCAAATGAAACCACGTGATTTCTTATTTGGACTGTCATCTTCAAAGAATTATAATTCGGTATTCCCCACGTCATCAACCAATTAGATGAAGACAATGAACGGAAATGCGATGAGCGTGAATTTTTATTAATCCATATATTGCAATTGGAAGGAACAATGGTACAGATTTTACGAATCATGCTGTGCACAAGAGTTATTTAGAACTCATAATGTCTTTCATGAAACGACTGTCGTTGGCAATTTTCATCAGAATGGATTGACAGGGTAGTACCAGTCAGGCCCATTATTGAACGTGGTTGAACTAATCCCAATCTTGCTATTAAAGAAACAACTTTGTCATTGTTAAAGTTATGGAATAATTATCACAGTGAACACATGATTGCCCATTTTCGATCTGACAATGCTGCTGAGATGCCATCAACTAGAGAATTATTAAGTTTAGGAATTAGAAGAGACACAATTGGTACATATACTCCTGCTTTGAATGGTACAGCCGACATCTTCTGTTTCGAATAAAATACATCTGCAGCAAACCCGCGTTCAAATACCTCTAAGGAACATGGAACGAAATTTAATACTGCTTTTAGACAGTAAAGTGGCCATATCTTGGTAAACCAACATATTTCATTGCTCTAGCTCTCCCACTTCCCTGAAAGGCAATGTTTGTGTATTTTTCGGATTATTATAATTATCCCTGGACATGACTATAATCCTTTGGTTGGGAATTTAAATAATATTCAACTAAATGCGTCCACTAGTCAAGGAATCATGTTTGGTGAAGGTATCAATAAGCATGCGTTGTCCAAAACTCAAACCTTGAAATGGAAGAATCAATTAACACCGTGAGACTTTATGCTCATAGACCAAGACCAGGACAGACAGTTACAGCTCATTTGACAGAGCTGAGAGCATTATATCTTTCTATTCCAGAATATGGCATCAAGATGGTTGGAGTCAAACAAATGGGTCGGGACGGCACTATGGGAACCATTTCCTCATATTTAGCCTCACTACCTGGAGCAACTTCAAGCATGTAGAACTTCAACTGAATTTTTCACACAACCAATCCAGCATTTGTTCTTCATTGCCAGCACAGTGTACGGATTTTGAATTCCCTAAATGCTAAAATTCCACAGTTTGATATTAACATAGATTCCATTGATTTTCGTATCTTCCATTTAAGCATCAATCTCACTTTGAATTTGATCTTAACAATTTCGATCTACTATAGACGGAGGCCAATTGTACCATGAACGATTATATCCAGACGTGGGAATCTGAATAACAAGATGGTTATACCCTTACCACTGAAAGTGATCTTAACAAGCAAGCTATTTCATTACCAAATATGATCAAATTTAGTTTTATCAAATTTCCAACATGGTTGTACTGTTCCCAATCCAAAGTGAACAATGGTTTCGTGACCAGCCAAAGTATAATCTAGGCAGAGTGGCAAGGAAAGCCCATCTCTTTTTAGTTCATTTAATTTTATTGTCTATTTTGACGATAGTGTCTGGCTAGTCTCTGCGTATATTCTCCAATAGTATCTCTGAGAAAATGACACCCTGTAAGTTGTTCGTGAGTACCGGATGAAGAGGAGATTTGGAACTCCTAAATATCAATTGCAATTATTGGTTGTATTTCTATGGTACCATTATGTATAACAAACACAAATGAATGGTAGTGACTAATTCTGTTGTTATGTGGGTAGAAATAAAAGGGTTGCTGAAATTGAATAAATAAAAAAGGGGGGTTGGGGATTTTTTTAAAAATTTTTTGATGACTTTAGAGAGATCATGTGACTTCTTGATAAGAATATTCTTTTCCAAAAATAAATTCAAGGTTCCATTATTCAATATCCTCAAAATGTCTAAAGTGGTACATATTCATCTAAAAGACAGTGAATGTCATCAAGGACAACCAACCCAAGTAGAAGTGTATCCTTAAACCGCCATGTATTAAAACTTGCAATGAATTGAATGAAACCTGGATTCATAAAATCATAAGATATATTGCAATTAAAACATCTGTTGTTTCGGAGAATTTATAGTAGTTCTTCGCATTATCCATAGATAAATAATTTGAAAACCCTTTTATTGCATCTAAAACGAGGAATCGATACGGGATTAACATCACTGGAAGTACTCTTTTAAAATTTGTTGAATCTTTCTGGTGATATTTATAGGAATAGAATTAACTTAACTTTAATAAACATAAATATAAAAGCAAAGTTGAGGATAAAGAAAGATATATATAAAATAGTTTCAACCTTCAGACGGATTTGCCCCCTTTTATGGTTTGTCCAAGTTGTTTAGTTGCTGGTGGGAGAAGATATGTTATGCTTCCAGTAATGTTTACTCCGCAATCATCTTCGCTCTCTATTTAGAGTTTTGGGGATAACTTTATTGGATGTTTCATGGCAGAATTAACTTTAATTCCAATAGTTTCCTCCTTTCAACCACCCTACCAATGGTTTTTAATGAGTATACAGTCCCAATTTCTGCTGCTTGGGATCCTCTAAAACACGTAAGTTGCTATTAAAGGTTTCTACCATGTCTATACAAAGTTGCGCGCTAAATGTTTTTAGCTTATAATTTTTGTGTAAAATTTAATCCAGAACGCTTAATCGTGACTTTGCAACTTCACGAGCGACATTAAGCATTCGTTCTCAACCATGGATGTCGATTGGACTCCCATTTGCGTGACTTCAATTCGATTCCCCAGTTCTTGGATATAGTACAATGAAAGAACGTTAAGGGACTCTGATATGTTTACCTTAATAACGCATTTCAGGTCGAATAAAGCGACCTCCATATTAGATCAAGCCTGTCTCACAAATTGTAATTGCTTCTCCAATGTAGAGGTAGACATTTAACCTCTTAAAACATGGTGACCGGTAAAAGTCTACAGGTTCCTGACAAGTTGCCAAAGGATTAGTTATCGGGTGGGTGTGCCTCCCAGAGTCTAATTTGGAAGCAACATTACATACAATATGTCGCGTTTACATTAAGAAGCTATTTCCGCCTATACTGCAATTCTCGGTGATAAGCTCACCTAGTGTTTGCGTTGTTGTGGCAAATTGTATCAAGTTTGCACCCCAGGTTTTGTGTTTTGCAACCATTCAAAAAATATACTTATTCGCCACATAATATTTGGCACAAAATAGCACCGGATATATGCCATGCATTGCTTTGTATGCATGAAAATGCAGTTGCTATTTGTGACCCATAAGTAGATTTGATAACTTGGTTTATCCCGATAAGAGGGGTGTATTTTTCTATTAAGCCAGCCACAGGAATCTACAAGTAAAGATCGTAGTGTGTACTGAACCGATTTAAGGGTTTCATCCCCCCCATTTACTAGAAGAGACAATTTCGTGTCTTAAGTGGAACATCATGCGTGTCCCCTTATGCGTGTGTGTCTTTGACTGTGAGTTGAAGTTTCATTTTGGACAATTCTTCTTCAGATTTATCTTTCTTAAGAACACGTTCGGACTTTGATTGTATTTCTGCTGGTTTTCTTTATTTGTTAATCAGAGGATAGCTTCGTGTGTTTGAAGTAATTGTAAGAAGTCAAATATTCTGGAATATTTGAAATTTAAAGATTTGGTGAATTTTTTGCAGTAATTTTTATGTCCAGGCATTCAGCTCCAGGGAAACGAAGCATACGAATTTGATAAAATCAAAATATGCTATAGAATAGACAACAGAAATATAATTCACTTTAATGCCAAGTCTGTGTCTCTCAATGCGTTGTAAGAGACACAATTGTCGAACCAAAAGAACGATGAAACCGACCTGAATGGTTTTTTTGGATCTAATAATCACTCTGCTTGAGATATGAAAAAAATTTGGGGCCAAAAAAAAAGGATGGGTTTAAATTTTTCGTTCGCAGTATCAAAAATATTCATCTCTTTGATCTTAATCCATCAGTAGCAACCATCGAATCACCCAGCCCGCTTAAACCATGTCCATAGTTCGCGTAGTTCACTCCTCTGGTATATATTCCAGACCAGTATCATCATTCATAATAAAAAGATGTTATTCCATATCCCCTTCCGATTCAGAAAAGAAATTAAGTCCAGACGAAGCCAAACAACAAGCAGCCCAACTCGCGATGCAATCCATCAAGGATTTCGGGTCCCTCTTATCATCCTCTCCCGATGAAGCTACACAACCAATAGATACTGCTCCAATATATGAAGACCCAAAATTATTTGGTTCTTTAAGTTTATTACATCAAGGACAAGTATTGAAAGAATTACAAGATAAATATGATAAAAAATGGCAAAAATTAACCATGAAAGATAAATTGTTAGGTTATTATATTGCATATGGTGATTGGGGTGTTCGAGAAAAGTTTGATAATTGGAGAACTTTGGAAGCACCTTATGATTTACCATTTGTTGTTCCTTCAAAAGTTAAAACTACAAGTCCAAATAAAGATACAATTATCAAGAAGTTAGAACCAGTTATTTTGGCAGAAACTCCAGTTAGAAAAGCACAATTTGATTTCAAGAGAATGGATGGGGTAACTAAGTTTTTCATATATTTAACTGTGTTTATTGCCATGTTTGGTATTTATAGAGATAAGAGTATTGGTGAAGAAGGAAGACCTAAAGAGCTTATTGTTTTTGACCGTCATGAATTAGCCAGGCAAGAAAGGATTGCTAAGGAAAAGGCGGATGAAGAGAAAAGAATACTTGAAGAAAAGCTTGCATTAGAACAGAAGAAGAAGCAAAAGAAATGGTATTACTTATGGTTAAGGTAAATGATCATTATTATGGTGGGGTGTTGATTAGTTGATCGTTAGACCGGATGCTTTACCTAATGAAGGTAAACTCCCTTTGTACATAGAATCTGTTGGGACACTTGTCGTAGTTATTTTACAATGTATATTTATTGACCAGATATATTTAGAAGTAAATACATGTTAATTCTATTACCCATTAAAAATAGTCCCCTATACACAACTTTCTTCTCTCCCTCTCCCTCTCTCTCAATTTTCATCAGAATCATCATCATCATCATCGTCGTCATCTTCCTCATCATCCAAATCATCTTCATTCCAACTATTTTCCACCGTTTCCCTTACTCTTTTCACATATTGAGATCTATGATCTTTATACAAATTCGCAGCTTCCACATTTGCAGGCGAACTAATATTAGGATCATTTAATAATGATTGAATGGAAGTTAAGATTGACGATACATCATATGTAGGTGACCATCTATTTTGTAAAATATCTAAACATAATTCTCCTGACGCATATACATTTGGATGAAACATTTCACTAATGAATTTCACACTTGGTGGTTTATTNGGGATATTGTTCATCAAATTGAAGTATTAATCTGAAAGTACCATCTTCAAATGGAGTATCTGATGGACCAATAATTACTGCATTCCTAAAATATTGGATTGTTAGTATTCTCAAGTGGCAAAATAAAGACAAATATATAAACAGTAAGAGAACTAAAATCCCCTTACTGTGTTGTTGTTATATAAAAGGTACATACCATTTCATGACATTATCTGGTAGTGGTGAGGCTGAAACGCCACTAGGAGCATCTTGTTGTATACGCTGTCATTTCGTTAGTAACCAAGATCAACAATCTCTTTCAACTGATGGGGAACATACCTTAAAGTCACGCATGAGTCTTCTTTTGGCTGGAGTTGACATGGTTGATGAAAATGAAGTTTTATATGAAAAATAATACAAGTAGTAAGATAAGTAAAGTTGATAAATAAATAAATATTGCAATCAGTTAAATTAAATTCTGATAAAAAATTGTTGATTGGAAATTTTACATTGGGCGGAAATTCTTTTGTTCTGCGAACTTAAAGAAAAAAAAGATTCTATCAGTGCCACCACCAACAGCCACACCCAACCAGAATTTAAACTAGTCTGACGCGTAAAGTCGGTCAGTCAATTTAGAAATGGTAGGCCAAGCAGTGCAATAAGCATCTAAAAGAACATATACACCCCTAGTAGAACAAGTATAGAATCAAGTAAATGTAAATGTATTTTATTTATAATTTTATATTTAAAGTGAAAAAAAAAGAACAACTCGTAACTTGAAAACACATACGCTAACCAATAACCAAAAACAGTTGATTCAAGTAAACCCCCCAATACTCATAGTTTCTCATAATATTCAAATAAAGAGTTAATAAAAAAAGGTGACTAAACAAAAAAGGATAAGGAACGAAATGAAAATATAACCCAATGATTTCATACTCTAATCGTAAATTCTAAAGTACAACGTCAAGGCATCAAAAAAACTGGTGTGGTAAGGTACTTACTTACCTTTCCAGAAATCAGTCAAGTTTTGACCACCACCATTGAATGCTAAAACATTTGGAGTATCTGCTGGAATATCAGAAAGAACACCTTCAGTACCATAAGCAATCAAATTCTTCTTTAATTGTTTTGGTGAAACCCCATCAGTGGCAACAAAGAATTCTGAATCAGATCCTGGTTGTAATGAAACATAATATGACAATAATCCACAAATATGTGGAGATGCCATAGAAGTACCTGATAAATAAGCAGTAGCACTATCTGATCCAATATAAGTAGATAAGATATTTAAACCAGGAGCAAAAATATCAACACATTTACCATAATTGGAGAAATATGCTCTAAAATCAGAAATGGTAGATGCACCAACAGTAATAGCAAGTTCAGCCGATGCTGGAGATGTATTACAAGCATCTTGATTTTCATTACCGGCAGCAACAGCAAAATGAAGACCAGCTTTAACTGCTGCATTAACAGCTAAATCTAATGCAGGAGATTTTCCACCTCCAAGTGACATATTAGCAGTAGAACCTTTGAACCCCTTTTTACCCGCTTTAGATTCTTGTTGATGGGCTTTAGCAGCAAATTCAACCCCTTTAACAACATCAGACATTGAACCGGATCCATTAGATCTTAAAACCTTAACAGCAACAATATTAGCCTTCTTGGCAACACCATAAGCATCTGAACCAATAGTACCAGCACAATGAGTACCATGACCATTACCATCAGTATCAGTATCACCAGTTGGGATAGTTGCACCCCAAATGGCTCTACCTTTAAATTCTACATGATTAATATTAACACCAGTATCAATAACATAAGCAGTCACACCTTCACCACCTTCATTATCATATAAATATTGATCAAATGAACCTAAACTCAATGGTTTTCTATGAGAAATTCTGGCTAACCCCCATGGAGAACCTTTATTAACTTCAAATTCATTAGCATAAACCATTGAATCCTTTTCAACAAATTTAACCAAAGGATTTCTTCTGATTACTTCAATAGTTTCATCCATAAAATAACCATAATAACCAGTTAATAACTTATCAATAGCAAAACTATCAATAATACCACCTTCAGTCTTAAAATCTTTAGTTGAACTGAAAAATGGATCAGATTCTTCAACTCCTTGTAAAGAATTAGCATGAGTTAAAGCAACCCATTCTTGATGGAAAGCAGCTTCTTCAGGTTTAACATCATCCTTAAGCACGATGATATATCTATGAGAGATAATATCTCTATTAGAATCAGCATTAATGATTGGAGCTAAAGCATCATTTAATTTCATTCCTAAATGTTCAGCAGCTTCATGAGCGGCATGTTTAAGGGGTTCGAGTTTTTGATTAATCTTGTCATTGATGGTGTCGACAGCAAAGACATCAATCACATCACCAACTGATGGAAGAATTAAACCTTGGACACCTAATGTTGTCAAGATTGAGAAAGCAATAGCCTTGGATAACTTCATTGTGGGGCGCGGTAGGTGGGGTGGAACTCGAGTGGCGTTGTTTTTAGTGCGATGGGCTGTTGAAAGTTGGGGTAAACGTTGTTCTTTTAATAGTTTAGTTTCCTTTTCTAATAAATATGATTTATTATAGAAAGAAACCTTGAATTGTAAAAGAATAGGAAAAAGGGAATTCTAAAAAAAAAGTGGGAAAAATGAGATTGATTTTATATCAAACTTAAAGCAATGATAAGAGAGAGGGAAAATAAAGTTATGGGGGGGAGCAGAAAAGGGTGGCGTTTTTTTCTGTGTATGTTGTATTTTATTTTTGGTTTAGTAAAGAGAGATAACTTATATACAGGAGGATCTTTTCCGAGGAAGGAAAAGGACCAGCAACACTTGGTTACACTATTAATAATAGAATATAATAGGTCTTAAGAGAGTATAATACTTCCTGTTATTTCACCCTCACAAGACAGTAGTCTATAAGCATACATTACCAAGAATATACCATATCCAATATATATAAAGTTCTTCTATAAACACTTTATCAAAAAAATGTGGTGGTTATCTGTTGCTCTCTTATGATATCTCTGACTCATGAGACAGCAATCCAGATTAGGAAATGAAACACCACAACCGCAAAAATCCCAAATCCCAAAATTCCCCCACCTCAAGTATGCGAAAACGTCATTTCATGCCATATCTCATTAAAAAATATTATCTTAGATCTTTTGATCTCTTGAGATTCCATTTTCTTGTAGCCAACTACGAATACTATATTCATCATTATTATCATTTATGGCTTTATATATAATCTCCTCTTCATATTCTCCTTCAGATTTCAATAAATCAAATAATACTTTCTTATTAGAAACCGATTCATTGACACAGAACCACATCTTATTTGCAGATGCCGATAACTCCACCTGCAGCTTATTAATAGGAAGCCTGGGGGAGATTATGAATTTAAATAATTTTTGATTCAATAATTCCATTAATTCTCGAAATGATTTCCCTTCAATTTGTCGTTTATTCCCAGTTTTACAATATTCATTATTACACCAATGATTCCCACATCCTTTACTCAATTGAATCATATATTTTCGTTCGATTCTAATTTGTAATTTCAAATGATTAGGATCATTTTGTTGAATATACAAAGGACCATAACAAATATCACATAATCCAAGTTCATTACCCGGGTCCTCACTTTTAATCAACCGAATACAATTCTCATTACAACATTTATTAAATATGATTTTATTCATTTGATTAAATTCCAATTTTTCTAAATCATGTAATTTAATATGTTTTTTAAAATCTTTAGTTCGTAATATTTTCCCACATTTATAACATTCATTTGTTTTATTCCCACAAGAATTCTCATGATGAGTTAAATTTTCAAATCTATCTTGATAGGTCGATTCTTCTTGGGGGACAACTAAATGACAAAACCTACATTGATGCAATTTAGCAGGACATAGTCTTGCTTTATGACCAATGACTAATTCAAAGAAATTGTCATATGTATCAGTAGAAGGACACAGATGACAAGTATATGGACCCATATGATGTAATTTCTTATGTTTGAATTCTAATAATGGTGTATTGGCATAGAACTCCACACACTTATCACAATGCCAATGATAATCGGGAATCTTCTTTAAGAAAACAGAATTACATTTAGTACATCGGACATTATTTCTTAAACAGAAAGTTTCATGTAAGGGGAATTGTTGCTTCGGAATGGGTTTTAAACAATTAGGACATTCTCTACTATCCTCCCCTTCATTCATATCTATATCTTCTTCTTCATCGGTTGCTTGATCATAGATTTCAATTTCAACATCGGCATCGGTATCCCAAGTAAATGGAATCAAATATAAGTAATTCTGTTCCGTTTCGTCTGAATCTTCATTCTTCATTCTTTGTAATTTCGACAAAATAAGATCTTCATTCAAACATACTTGTACTATTTTTCTTCCATCAGTATGTCCATTCCGAGCTAATTTTCTCTCAACAGATAAATCCTCATCCATGGTTGAGTAATTAAAATTCTCAAGTGTAACAAATTTATCCAACCCAACAATGAAATCTATATTAACCACGGTATCAAGATCCTTAGGATCATATTTACAATTCTTAATAGAAATCACGAAATCTCCTTTCCGGTTCAATAAATCAATCTTATATATATTCGGAACAAACTTCGGATTCAAAAATGATTTCAAACCATGTATGGTTATACTCCGTTCAATCTCGGTGATTTTATTATATGGACTTGAATTAAATTCCAATAATTGTTCATTGGCAATCTTATCTGACAACGGTATCAAATCAAGTGTTATATCAGTATCGATAATACATGCCGTGATTCGTTTTTCCGATTCATTATTGATCTCATCAATTATCAATTCATATCGAAGATTATCATCCTCAATTATTAACGTATCTTTATTAGTTAATGTTGTATAATATTGATTTAATTTATTTTCAAGAAAGAATTTCCAATTGGTAATATTGGAATAAAAATGACATGGTTTTAATTTTAATGAAGTTGCTTTGGGGATATGTTGTTGTAATTCAATCCTAACCTCATTAGGTGAGTTTAGCTTGTCATATATCACATTCGGGAGTATTATTGTATTATCTTCTGTTGCTGAGAATTCTTTAACTCCAACATATGCTGATTTTGAATAATCATCGATGTTTGTAATCTTAAATATTAATGGATGGGGTAATTCTGATTCTGGAATCTGATCAATTATTTGGGATAAAATTGATGGGGATAGTATGATTTTATCTGAATATGGTTTTAGCTTTTTCCTACTATCAGATTGATCTATAGTTAATCTGAATTGTAAGTTCATTTGAGTTGATTCCAATGGCAAAAAGAGAGACAGTGTGAAATCAAATTGGCAACAAATAACTTTGAAAAATTCTTTATCACTTGGAGGCAAATCTTTTTTTTTTTAACAGCCATTGAATTATTTTAACAGCCATTGATTAATTTACTACAAAACTACAAAGAATATTCTTTTAGCTTTCACCGGTAATGGTTTTATAAATATTCTATTACGTGTTATACAGTATATATATATATATAAATATGCTATGTGAGACTGCTCATCTCCCACCTGATGGTTTACTATTCTTCATTAATGATCTTGCTCCATCTCTAACCATTGGACAATAATGTTTATCTAATAAAACATTTTCCCAAACAGTAGCAGCACCACTATTACTTCTTTCTAATTCAACTTCACGATCTAATCGTTCAATCCCCAAGACATATGAACCTTCACCGCTTATTCTTTCTTCAGTATTCCATAATCCTTTCAATGAATCATCATATCGACTCATTAATTTCCCCACAAATTTTAAGATTGCTAAGGAAGTCTTTTCTGGTGATTGTAATATTGTTAAATATAATCGTTTGGTGAATGATGTTGCTCTTGGTACGGTACCATTTTTTGATCTAAAAAATATAAAATCAAGACATCTTAATAATAATTCAGCTTTGGTTGATACATTAATTGCGGGTTTTTCTACTTCTTGAACTAATGATAATGGATCAGCTAATCTAAGTGTCTTATGACTGAATTCTAAATCCGGATCTAATGATAAATCAGCCAATATTAAATATAATGTAGATACAAATTTACTCAAATCTATACTCATGGGTAATTTCCCCATTGATCCATGATTTAAAACCAATGAAAATGAAGTAGCAATACATAACAAAACGGTACGTAATTGTTTCCCAGTATACATTCCACCACCAATATCATCATCATCCATATCTTCAGTTCCATCAATTATAGAATTCACCGTACCTAAAGAATGTTCTTCTATTATATCAATCATAATCTCTCTTAATACTTCCAAGAAATCACCTAATAAATCAAGATTAGCCATTTGTCCAAATCTCGATAATCCTTCCAATACCGCCCCCATTAATAAACTTGCATCATTCTTACCATTCCCATCAATAGTGGTATGAGAACCAGCTTTTAAGATTTCAAGATATAACATCAAAATCATTTTTAACACTTGAGCTTGAAACTTTTCTCGTTGTTCAATTGTGATTGCTTGTTCTGCTTTTCTCATTTCTTCTTCAATTTCTTTCATTTCTTTACGAACTTTTCTTTGTTTTTTAGATATATGAACTCGATCCTTCTTTTTTAATTTTGGTTTAGGTAAATCATCACGATTATTATTGGGATCATAATCTTCCAAAAGTGAAAGTGATAAAAATACATTTATAACTGATTCATCCACTCTAAATTTCTTATCTCTAATTGATTTGGTCATTAATTTAATAACATCAAATGTAATATCCCCATTCTCAGCATCATCTTTAAGCAAAGTTTCTAAAGCCCTTAAACATTTCATAAATACTTCATAATCTTCCAGATTTGATGGTTTTTTGTTTAATCTTCTAATTATAATTGTGAATAATTCTACTCGATAATTGAAATGACGTAATGATGAAATACATAATTCTGTAGCTGCTTTTGTGGCCAATACACCACGTTTTAATTGATCAGTAGTTATATTCTTATTACTTGAAGAATGAGAATATGAAACTTTGGCATATTTGGCTAAATTATCAATATATGAACAATAATTACTAACTAATAATTGTTCAAAAGTTCTTAATCTTGCAACTTCTCTACTTACTTTTTCTCTCTTTTCGGAATCAGTCAAAGGTCTAATTTTGTATGATGGGGCTAATGATTTAAAAATTGGAATTAATGCCATGATTGCTAATTGACTTGTAACAAAGTTTTTTGATTCTGACATTTTTCTTAATCTGGTTAAACAAGCAATATTTTCTTCCGGGTCTTCAATTAATTTAGATGCTAATTCAGCGATTTCTTCTTTAATCTTGATTAATCTTTCTCTTGGAGAAAGATTTGCATCTTCATCTTCAGATTCCTCTTCTTCCTCTTGCTTCGCTTTTTGTATCTTCTCCTGTTCTAACTTCTCATCCTCATCTCCTTCATCTTCCTCATCTTCCTCATCTTCAGCAACAACTTCACGCACAACTCGTTCAATAGTCCCATCTGATCTCTTAATAGGCAACCCCTCTACCATTTTTCCAGAACCATTAGCATTATGTGTTCTTGGCCTTAATTCATAATCCTGTTCATCATTTTCCCAATCATTAGAGGGTTCCTCTTCATCTTCATAGTCACCAGTATTCTTGGCGGATGAAAATAATCCAGTCAGTAATTGGGCGTCATTCTCTTGTTTGAGTTTCTTTCTCTTTTCTAATGCTTGTGCGTTATTCTTTCTTTTCCCCATATTTGATGTTGTCCTTGTAATGTCCCTTGGGTATATGGATCAAATTTTGGAGTTATTTTTTTTTTACAATAGCCATCGCTAATTTTTTTTACCCAGTGTACCAGAGAGAGTTTGATGCGATGAGTAGTGGATGTGTCGTAAACTTCACCTATTCGCGACAAATGTAAATGTCTACGACAGAGAGAGACGACATTTATCATCCGAGACATTTTTTATTTATTTTTTTGTTTCTGTTGCTCGTTTAGAATTTATTAAACGATCGTATATTTGCTTAGAAAAACATCCATTCTTCAATAGGAACTTATCCCCTAAGCACCGAAAATTATTTTTTCAAATATTTTTTTTTATTACCGTGTATTGTATTGTATTGAAAGCCGATTGAAGAGTGGAACGATCTCATGATGTAGGTATGTACAGTACTTGCCTTATTATCATCCCAATATTTGCTTAGTAATAAGGTTTTGACGTATTGTGATTAAAACGAATGATTCTTCATTTGGATCTTATCTGTGGGGTTTCCATAGAGAACGATTAAACCCCAACAAGAAGATCCAATTATATATATTGGTTAACACGATATATCCTTCGGCGTTTAGAATTAGAGTTCAGTAGTTAGTTAGTCATTTGTAATCATCATCTCTCTTTAGCTTTTTTTAGTACGGGAGTTTAAAATTTTCCTGCCTTCCGACCTCCCTCCCTCCATTGTCCGTATGATTTTATTTTTTGGATTTAACTTCCTTTAAATGCTTGGGAACGAGAAGAGAAGAAGAATTTTTTTTTTCCTTTAAATTGAAATTAAATCCGTTCCGTAATGTTTACACTTTTTTAACCTTCCATTTTCTCGATTGAATTTTTTTTACAAGAATCATTATTCGTCCTTTTTTTTATATAGATATTGATATTAAGATCTCTCCAGTTTTAAGTTGATTAAACTATGAGTGCCAATGTTTCTTCTCCCCTTGTGGAGAATTTAAAGCAAAATGCCAAGGAATTATTAGATGTTGACTTTTTACAATCAAAAGCTTTAGAATTATATCAATCAGCTACTTGGTTTCAAATAATAATGTCATTAATTATTATTACATTATCATATGATCAAATTAAATATCAATTAAATAAAGGTTCTATTGCTGGTCCAAGATTTAAAGTATGGCCAATTATTGGTCCATTTTTAGAATCTTTAGATCCAAAATTTGAAGAATATAAATCAAAATGGGATTCTGGTGAATTAAGTTGTGTATCAATTTTTCATAAATTTGTCGTGATTGCTTCATCTCGTGATTTAGCTAGAAAAATTTTATCATCTCCCAAATATGTTAAACCTTGTGTTGTTGATGTTGCCATTAAGATTTTAAGACCAACTAATTGGGTATTTTTAGATGGGAAAGCTCATACTGATTATCGTCGTTCTCTTAATGGATTATTTTCTCAAAAAGCTTTAGAAATTTATATTCCTGTTCAAGAAAAGTATATGGATTTATATTTAGAACGTTATGTTAATTATAAAGGACCTCGTGAATTTTTCCCGGAATTTAGAGAATTATTATGTGCTTTATCATTAAGAACTTTTTGTGGTGATTATATTACTGAAGAACAAATCTCTTTGATTGCTGATAATTATTATAGAATTACTGCTGCTTTAGAATTAGTTAATTTCCCAATTATTATTCCTTATACTAAAACATGGTATGGTAAAAAAATTGCTGATGAAACCATGAAAATTTTTGAAGACTGTGCTGGTATGGCTAAGGTTCATATTAATGATCAAAATGGATCACCAACTTGTGTTATGGATGAATGGATTCATTTAATGAAAGATGCAAGAGAAAAACATTCTAATGATCCTGATTCTAAATTATTAATTAGGGAATTTTCCAACCGAGAAATCTCAGAAACAATTTTCACCTTTTTATTTGCTTCTCAAGATGCTTCTTCATCTTTGGCATGTTGGTTATTCCAGATTGTTGCTGATAGACCTGATGTTGTTGCCAAGATTAGAGAAGAACAATTGAGAGTTAGAAATAATAATCCTGACCAAAGATTGAATTTAGATTTAATTAATGAAATGGCTTATACTAATAATGTTGTTAAAGAATCTTTAAGATATCGTCCACCAGTTTTAATGGTTCCATATGTTGTTAAACAAAAATTCCCCGTTACTGATACTTATAGTGCTCCTAAGGGGTCAATGATTATCCCCACGTTATATCCTGCATTACATGATCCAGAAGTATATGATGATCCAGATAGTTTTATTCCTGAAAGATGGGAAAATGCTACTGGTGATATGTATAAACGTAATTGGTTAGTATTTGGAACTGGTCCTCATGTTTGTTTAGGTAAGAATTATGTTTTAATGTTATTTACCGGAATGTTGGGTAAATTTGTTATGAATGCTGATTTAATTCATCATAAAACTGATTTATCAGAAGAAATTAAAGTATTTGCCACTATTTTCCCAAAAGATGATTTAATTTTAGAATGGAAATCAAGAGATCCATTTGCACCAACTGAAGTTTAAACAGGAACTGTGAAGAAGAAACATAACAAGAAAAAAGCATTTAGTTCCATGTCTATTTTCTATATTTAATAATACACCCCCCAGCCCAATGGGATTGGATAGTGACTTTTTGTTTTTTTAATTTATCATTTATTGTTTTAGTTTAGTTTAGTTTTGTTTAGTTTTTAGTTTTGATTTCTTGTAATAATTTTATTTAAATCATCAATCAATAAATATTGTTGTGTGTTTTTGAGATTGTATGTTCTATTTTTTTTTCTTTCTTCACAAAACCTCCTTACAAAAACTTATATTAAACTAGAAGGAACGTTATTGAGAAGTACAAGTGGTAGATAGAAACTTATCTAGGGAACGGAAAAAAAGGGAAAGTAGATATTAAAAGTAGAAAACATAATCATGAGTGATAATCAATCGAAAAACACTGCAAGTAATAGTAATGCAATATCAATAATATCAGATCTGAAACCAGATGGGATATCAACTTCCCCAAAGAATGATCTTCTATCATCACAATTAACCAATGAAAGACGATCATCATCAAGTATAACATCCAAACCACAATTACCATTACCACCAATAACTCAAATAAGAAGAAAAAGAAGAAAACAGAAATTATTTACCAAAGATATTGAGAATTTATTATATGCCATGGGAGATCGTCCAGTATCTACTGATTTAACCATAAATGCTCTTGAAGATATCCTTGTTGAATATTTAGTTGATTTATCCCTGAATATCTTAAGATTTGCTCGATCACAAGGGAGATCAAGAATTAAAATGAATGATTTAGCATTTAGTTTAAGAAATGATCCATTAAAATTAGCTAGATTTCAATATATTATTGAACAAAGTTATAAAATTGAAAGAGCAAAGAAAATGTTTGAAGATAAAACTACAAATTATACTGATGAAGGAGTTGGGATTAGAGAGAATGATGATGAGAACAATGAAGATGGAGATGATGATGATGATAATATGGGTGGTAGTAATAGTAGTCAACATCAACAACAACTATCAAGTGATTCAAAGAAAAAGAAGAGAAAAGTTACTGGGAATGTAATGCTTAAAAAGAAAAAGAAAGATCTTTAATTAAGTGATGCTGTTTATAATGTTCAATTACCTTTTGGAGTATTAGTTTGTATATTGGGTAAGTAGTTCTGTAATATAAAAAGTAAAACCCATATGGGGGAAATGAATGAAACGTTGTATCAAGTTAAGCTTCTCTTATAGAATATTCTAATTAATTCTATTCACTTAGTATTCTGAATGATGCGAGATCATCAGTCGAAAGAAGAAAAAAAATTGATTCCGGCGGAACAGGTGATTTATTTTTATTCAGTTTCTATTTCTATCAAGAAGGAGAATTTTACAACAAAACTTTATTAGAAAAGGGAAAGGCAAGGTTTTATTTATTTAAATTCATTCATTTGTATTGTTACTTAGTATTACTCCTTGAGTATATATATGAAATAGAACTATTCCATCAGTTATAAAGTACGAAGAAACGAACATGTCAGAAGTACACGAGCATACCTGTCGTATTTGTCGTGGGGAAGCAACACCTTCACAACCTTTATATCATCCTTGTAAATGTCGAGGATCTATTAAATATATCCATCAAGATTGTTTATTAGAATGGTTAAAACATTCCAATAAATCAACTGAAAAATGTGACATCTGTAATACTCCTTATAAATTTAGAATCTTATATGATCCTTCAATGCCACAACGGATACCACCAAATATGATTTGGTCAAAATTATTACAAATCATCTCGACAACTTTAACAAAATCAATTTCAATTGGTCTTTATATATTATGTATCATAATTCAAGTTCCATTATTCTGGAAATTTACTGGGAGAATATATACTTGGGCAATTGATGGGAATTTACCAATACAAAATCAAACATTTTTAGATGCATTAACATTTGGTGAATATAATATTCAAAAAGTATTACAATCACTTGAACATGATGACTCTGGCATCCTGATTGCATTAATAACAAAACTTCAAAAATTCATGGCATATACTTATTTCGGCGGGCTTAGACACGTCTTAGTAACAATAGTGGTCCATGTCGCCTTGTTCATTGAACGAGAATGGGTAGTTCGAGATGAAGGTTATTTGAAAGCATTACATAAAAAAATCGGAAAAGAACCAAGAACAAAATTAGTCGAAATGTTACAACAAGCTCTTGATGCATTAGGTCCGGAAGATCATCCCGCTAATAATGGTCCACCTCAAGCCGCAGCTGGTGCTGAGCCAGTAGTTCGGGCAATTAATGATCTCAATAATGATAATCATATTCAGAATTATAACAACTTGTTTGAACAAGCATTAAGAAGACAAATAGATCAAGATTTGATTTGGGACGATGACCATCCTGCACTACAAGACCAAGCACCCCTTGATGATGGCGAGGATACCGATTTGGATAATGAAAGAAGGACCGTATTTGAACAACAACAACAACAACCAGTTCAACCACCACAACAACCTGATGCACATATCGATGAACCTCAATTAAGAGGTATTGTTGAAGGTATATTCGCCAACCGAGAAGCCGAGATGGATGATGACGATGACGAGAGTGAAAATGAAGATGACGAAGCTGAAGATCAAGATGTCGATGAAGCAATCGCCGCTGCTCGTGACGCCGGCGCAGCTGCCGCCGAAGCTGCTGCTGCGGCTGCTAATGGTGGTCAAGGAGGCGGTGGTGGTATTGCTGATATTTTGGAAGTATTTGGGATGAGTTTGAATATAAAGACCCCAATCTTACTTATGTTATTCTGTGATCTTGTTATATCGGTATATTTGTTTATTATGTTTTTGATTCCTCATGTATTGGGGAATATGTTTACTACTGTGATTGGATATTTGGTTAGGTTTACCGGGTTGATACTATCAAGGGTTCTTACACTCGGTCATTTTGATTCATATTTGGCTAATGTATCATTATGGATTGAAAAACTCGGTGAACATATTTCCGAAAGGGAATCATTACATTTCGTACTCAAGTCAATAAATGCCCATTTGGTTAAACCCATCAATGCAACTATCATCAATTTATTATTCCCAACCGAACCAGTGGTCCGGACATTAAGCGAAAGAATCATCTTATTAACAATAGGTTACAGTTTAATCGGAGGAACAATATATAAACTTATGGAATTTTTAGTATCGGGTCCAAAACCAATCATGGGATCTTCAAGAAAAATCTACAAAGTTTTATTCGAAATTAGATCAACGGCAAAAGTATTTTTCATCTTTGCAATTGAAATCTTCTTCTTCCCAGTATTTTGTGGCTGGTTATTAGATTTCTGTATTGCTCCACTTATCTTACCTAGCTTCACCATGACTTCCCAAGAAACTGGTACAACTCCAGAAACATTCATTATTATCTTTTTGACATCAAATTATGAAATCTTACAAGTCACATACCTTCGAGTATTGATATATTGGGCAAGTGGAACCCTCTATATGTTATTCTTTGCATTATTTATTGGAATGGTTAGAGGACTTATATTACGTCCAGGAGTATTATTTTTCATTAGATCCCCGGATGATCCTAATGCAAGATTGATTCATGATGCTTTGGTTAAGCCATTGAAATTACAATTATCAAGAATTTATTTAAGTGCCAAGTTTTATACTGGATTTATATTTATTGGAATTGGTGGGGTGACTTGGGGATTAAGATATTTAGTTACTCCTCCTCCATCATTACCTACATCATCTGTTTTGGAAGAGGTGTCAGAACTGGTTACACAATCGACTCCTCCAAAGAATGTATTCTTACCTATCCAAATTCCAACCGGATTAACGGTTTTATTACCAGTTTATGTTTGTCTTTTATTCAGTGTTCGATATCAACAATTGATTATAAAATATGTTCGTAAATATTGGATCCGAGCATTTGATATCTCAGCTCATAAATTAAGATTATCCCATTTTATCCTAAACAAACCAATATCTCATGAACGGGGATATATCATCTATCGAAACCTTTGGGAACAAACCCTCGCCACGGCACAACCAGATTATACAAAACCAGTCACGTATCGAGAAGCTCTCGCCATCTTTAAACAAAACCCCGATATTAAAGCCTGTTTCGTCCCTAATGGGAATTATGTCCGAGCACCTGATAATGATACCCTTTCAAGAAAATTCATCCGGAAATTATTCGTACCAGTTACAAAAGATGATAAATTAATTGAAGAAATGAATAATGACACCACCAAAACCAATCAACCTAAATCGGGCTATGAAACCCCATCATCAGATGAAGAAGATGAGGATGAAACTAATGTAGATAATGTCTATACTATAGTCTACCGCCCACCAAATTTTAAATTAAGATGTTTTGGATTGATTTTCTTACTTTGGATATTTGCCGTGATTTTAATCCTTTCATGTATTTTATGTGGGATCTTGATGGGTAGACCTATCATTAGAGCCAATCTGTTCCTTATGGCACAATTTGCTCCGGCTTCATTTGCGAAAGAATTTGATCTTGATTGGAATTTAGTTGATTTTAGTTCGATTGCCGTGGGGCTACTTTTTGAAATATTGATGTTGGACGCCTATGATCGAAAATTGGCCAATGATGCTCCGATTGGTGGAAATAATGAAATCAGAAATGCCGCCGCAGGTGGCGTTGGTGTTGGTGAAGATAATCAAGCTGCTGCCAACGACGACGCGGCAATTCCTGGAGTTGATCCACAAGCACAACCCGCCGACCAATTCCGACAATTAATGATGCTTAATTTCAGAATCCTTTTCAATCTCATGCCAATCCATATGTTATTAGTAATCCCCATGATGGCATTATGGGCATGTTGGATAGTCAGTGTTCATAAATTATGTGTAAATGATCCAATCCAACATTATTTCACCAATGATTTAGAAGTTGAATTCTTAACTGATCCAATAACTATGATTGTTCATTTTTTTATATCTTTCTGGACGATATTGCCGTTTTTATTTTATTTTTTGAGATCAACATTTAGGAATAATCAATTGCCTGTTCGTGAGGCATTGAAGAGTTTTGGAATTATTCCATGTTTGATTAATTATGGGATTGTTCATGTGCCGGCATTGTTGACAACGGTTGCGTTGAGATATTATGAGATTGGATCGGAAGAATTGTATATATATCTTTGGCCCTTGTTTATGTTGGTTTGTATGGTGGTGAAGTCGATTTATTATGGATATCATTTATATTACACCATTGATGATCAAGTTAAGAATGAAAAATATGTTAGAGGTAGAGCAATTGAGAATGTTTATGTCGCAGAGGGAAACGAGTAAATAGATATGGTTAATATAGCATTTCGTTGTCATTTTATATTTATAAATTAATACGTGTATATTTGTATCGTTCTTTTTCATGTTTTACAATTAATCTCTAAAAACTATGCATACAAGTGTATTAACAAAAATATCATCAAACTAATAAACAAAAAGAGGGAAAATTACTTACAAAATCAAACAAGAGTAATTACATATTCTAAATGTATGGGGGAGGACACAGAAAATCCGATTAGATTATTCAAGCAGGCATTTTAATATCCTCTGCTTGAGTAACACGTCTATCCTGTTCTTTTTCAACAGGAGCTTCAGCTTGTTCTTCTTCAACAGCTTCGTTAACATCTTCAACATGGGCGGCGTCTTCCACAACAGGTTCTTGTTCAATAGCTTCATCTAAATTTTCTTCACTAGGAACATCATCCTCAACAATATGTTCATTTTCCGATTCAACATCTGCAACAGGAACTTGTTCAGCTGGTTTTTGTTCTTCATTCTTTGGAGTTTCAACTTCAAATTCAACAGCAGCTTGAGGGGCGATTTCTTCCTTTTCTTCTTCTTTTGCAACTACCTTCTTTTCTTGCTCTTTTTCTTTCTTGACTGAAGTATCAATCTTAGGTGCTGGTGGTGGTTTGGCAACAACCTTCTTAGCCCCTGGAGTTTGTTTAGCTTGAGCAAGGACAGTTTCAGTTGGAATAGAAGGTTTCCCATCTTGGGATGAAACTTCTGGGAAATCATATTCTGATAAATTCTTATAAAAACTCGAACAGGCAAAATCCCAACCTTTGAATGGTTGTGCACTGGTGCATGCATCTTGAGTCCATGGAGTTCCATAAATCAAGGGGGAATAAGTAAGATAAAAGAATACACTAGCCCCCGTGAAAACAAAAACAACACCCAATGCAATTCTTTGGAATGTTTTGGAACGGGATGTTAAATATCCAGTAAAGATTTCTAAAAAGTGTCCTAATGTCAAAATACCAAAATATAAAGCTGGAATATAATGATGTAAGAATAATTGTCTACCCATAATAAAAAATGGGAAATAATGTAAGAACCATCCTAAAATATATGAAAAAACTTGAACATTGAAATTAAACACATTCTTTTCAGTAGAAAGTGGTTGACCTAAATGCCATCTTAAAACAGTAATACCAGCATAAACAAAGAATGTCAAAATACAAGCAGTGGCAGTCCACCAAGTAACAGCATTTCCTAATAAATAAACTTGTCTATGTTCTTTATTCCAATAATTAATCCCTCTTAATAAAAATGGCCAATCTTGAGGATCTGATTGCCATGGGTGATGACTATTTAATCCTTGATTGATTTGCCACATTCTTTTATGGGACATCACAAATTTATCCCATAATGATAACACTGGATAATTGACAATTTCAACTTCGGTTTGATTCAAGTATGGATTTTCATTGGTTTCAATATACCAATAAGTTAATCCTCTTCTACCTTGAGAAGCAGCCGTGACTTCTTGTTGACCAAAACCCCAATCTGGTAATTTCACAGTACTGGAAAACAAGTAGTGACCAGTCATGGCATGTCTTAATCTAAAAATAGTTTCAATGGCTCTGACATTTTGTTTAGCTTCTTCATTTTTGGTTCTATGTTTGACAATTTCAACTACGAAATCATCATTGGCATCACCTTCAAATCCATCATATCCATAACAAGAAGCTTCCTTTTGCCAATCACGTTCACTGACTGGGGCTTTTTCATCATGAGAATGTAATCTTCTTCCAGTATTAAGGTGTCTTAATCTAATCTTGATACCATTTGTTAATGGGACAAAAGTTTCATTATAGATAGTTTTATTACTATATGGTTCAATAAACCATTTGTTGTTAGTATCCAAATGAGGATATAAAGTGATTTGTTGTTGTTTAGAACCAGTTTCATAAAAGTGAGGATGGGAATGTAAATAACCACCACTAGTTTCAAGATGACGGATTGTAACAATAGAACCTAAACCAACTTGTGCAGGAATATCTCTAGGAATTTTATTACCTTTTAATCCCGCTCTGAAAGCACTTGGTAAGAATGAACTCCCATCACCTTCTTTATCCAAGACTTGGAAATGGATAGCAAAGAAAGTCAAATATAAAATAAATGGAACCCCTAACAAGATAGCCCCTCTAGCAAAGAAATGAGCAAGAACTTTTCTTGGTGAAAGTGATAAATCTCCAATAATAAACCACATTTGATAAACACATAAGAATCCAACCCAGGCAATAGTGAATAATCCAACCCATTTAGAACTAAAAGCCAAACCAAGTGCAATACCGGTAGCGATTAATCCTCTGTACCATCCCAAAGTGAATGGAATTTGAATTTCGAATTTTTTCCAAGAATAAACTGCAGCAGCAATGAAAAAAATCAAGGGAGAATCTAACAAGATATATCTTGAAAGTGTAATATTGGAATTTTCAATAAGAAGAAGGAAACTGGTAATATAAGCAATAATTGGTCTTACTCCAGATTGTCTCAATGTTAAATAACAAAGGAGAACAGTACCAACTCCTAATAAGGCAGGAAATTGTCTCATAAAAATATATGGAGTAGTTTCAGGATATGCATCACCAATTGATTTAAATTCAAAATCACCTTTGAAACCACCAAGGGCACCCACAGCAGCAAAAAGCATTTTAGCTAATGGAGGATGAACATCCATAAAGAATTTACCTAATATATATTTTCTGGCAAATCCTCCAAAATGAACTTCATCAAAAACAACTGAATTTGGATAAGATAAATGATATAATCTAACATACATGGCAATTGCCAAAAGGGATGAAAGTAACCAATATTCCTTAGATTTAAGGGTTCTTTTTTCAATAAGTGTTTCCGGTTGGTTTGTGATAAGATATTCACGAATTTCACCTTTAGCAAACTCTGGTTCTACTAAAGTGTCCATATCCACAATACAATCATTCTTATTGTGCTGATGTTTCTGGGCAGCAGCTCTAGCAGCAGCCTTAATTGAGGAATCTGCTTTCTTTGCCATTGTGATAATTGATATTGATGGTTCAATTGAAAGTTGTTGTTTGAAAAGTTGTTGGGATTGGTTGTAAATTTTTCAAAAATAATTATTTGGTGCGTGTCCTCTTTTTCTGGAACCTGAAAATTGGATACAAAAATAACAAAGCAAAATAAAAAAGATCAATTGAAGTTCAATTGGGAATAGTTTGATATGAAAATCTAATACTTCTTCCTTTATAAGGTCAAACAGAGTATCCCTTGCTTTTAAAATAGAAAAAAATTGAGATGGGGTGGTGTGTGTGTAGAAATACAATGAAAATACAATGAAATAATAAACAAGGGGAGAGAAGAAAAAGCTGAGCATTTTTTCATAGTCTTCCTCCCTTTCTTCTTGTTTGTTTTGACACAGCGAAGAAAAATAGAATGTAATTTCCTGCATACTATCAACAGTGAGTGTTCAGATGTCACTTGTTGGATGTTACAGATTGGAAGTTTAAAGTTTAATCATTCTCTTAGTGGCTTCCCAAATGATGATGATGTATGGGAAGTGTGAGTGGGTTACTTTCTACAGTGAGGCAAATTTAACAGTTTGCAATGCTACTTGATTTATTATCGATTGGCTGCCAAATTATTTCATTGTAGCCGCACGGATCAACCCCGAGGATTTATTTTTAGAACACATTGCTGTAGGTCGTGAAGATCTCAATGGAGAGTCAGGTGTCATAAGACTGTCCATTCGTCAGCAAGTTAAATGTTTTAATCTCTCCGGTAACACAGAGACTGCATATACCACTAACGTGCTAGATGCATTTCAGATCACTCCCCTAAAAGTCTACTATGAGGTATTAGTTTTCCAAATGATGAGCAGCAACCTAAGTATATGCATCACCTATCCTGCAACTGACCAAGGTCTTTGTAGCGCTTAGATTTGGATCTCAACACTTTTTAATATACATTTATTATTTATTACTGATTTAGTAACTGTGTAAGTCACTACTTAACATATAATAAATGTATATTAAAAAGCCTACCCTCCAACCCTTACATTCTCCTGGTTATTCATTTTGATGGAGAAGGGGAAGGTTCATAGTGACGGGATTTACGCGTTGAAAAAATTAAACAGTTTAACTGGTGTAGAACACAGTAGAGATGCTTGTATACATGTAAGTGCTTGCAATATTCACGTTCTCTCAGATCCAGGCAATGCTACAACTGTAAGTCCAGACTTATTGGTTTTTCTACTTGAAAGTCCTTGTGCTTTTCCAGTTAATATAAGAGAGCAAGAAGAACTGGCGTTCGAGGGCGACTCTTTTCTCCTGTTAGAAACTGGTTATACGTACTCCAATATTGTGCAATGGATCTTCTCCTCACAATGATGTTACGTTATTACGTTACGTTATTTTATATTCATAGATCTATTAAACTATCTCTTTTTCTCGCTATAAATCTATCTATGATTGCATCTCTTCATCTTCTTCTTCTTCTTCTTCCTCTTCTTCATCTTCTTCAGCATACTTCTTAGCTTCTTCTAATAAATCATCAGGAATAAATTGATGTTTTCCATCAGTAAATTCTTTCGAACACCAAGAAATCTCCAATTCATAATCTTTATCTTTATTATCTTCATGAGCCAAATGAATAATCTTCGCAGCAATCTTAACTGCATCTTTAATTGATAAGTCTTCAAAATCCAATTTTTCTAATTCTGATTTAGCAGTTTGTCTACCTTTACCAGTTGCAGCACCAGTATAACCCCAACAACTTCCACTTGGTTCAATCATATATAAATGTGGACCATTATCATCAACACCACCAACAATAGAAACAACCCCAAATGGTCTAACTGAATTATAACATGTATAATTTTGGACATATATACCTAATCTATCCATTAAATGAGGCACTGAAATTGGGGTTTTATATATAGATTTAAACGATTGTGCTTCATCACGTCCACGATTAACGAAATGACGACCATCGGGTAAAAGACCAGAATAAACAACTCCAATGTGTCTGTCTATAGTTTGAATTCTTTTATTTTTACCGGGGACTAATAATTTTGAATTTATGATTTTTTCAACCGCTAATACAATTCCATCTTTACATTTAATACCAATTGATGTTCCTCCATTCTCAACTGCTTTCATGGCATATTCTTGAACCTTCAAAGAAGGTAGATATCTACGAACAATCATAAACTGACACAGAGAGACGATTGTAAATATACTTAATACATACCTGGTGAAAAAACACTATTTGATAAATCGTAACCTGTACCAATGGATGTCTAGAATTGTTATAGTTAGTATAAGTTTGATTCAATTGATTCAGTTATCTTCTCCTCGTATGGGAACATACCATTTCTGTTTAATTGTCTATTTCCTTTAAAGTTAATTGTTTTTAGTAAATGAAGATGAAAGATTAAAGATTTCCAATTGAACAAAAATTTCAGTTTTCTTAGAAATATTGCCACTGGAGAATGGCAAATCTTTTTTTCGTTCCTCACTCTGATGAATATCTTAAGTGTCTCCTTACAAACGCGAACGAAAATGCAATGCCATGACATAGCTTGATTAGTGTAAGACCCCAACCCGAATGCGATATGTTAAGTTTACCGGGTATCACCCTCATAATCATACATCAATTCTTATCATATCATCTACATACAAAAAAAAAGTCATACTAACACATTGTAGATCCCTTGTATACTTATCAGTACATTAGGATATGGTTCCCATTATTTCATACTTCAATATTACATGTCCACTAACGAACAAATAACATTCCAAATCTACTTATCTATGGTCTGGATCTCATATATACTCCGTTATAAACAATTAGGTCCTAATGGTGGTGGGTTTATAGTTGGTTTAGTTCCTCAATGGAGACGATATTGTAAAAAATGCCAGAATTTCAAACCACCAAGAACTCATCATTGTAAGACATGTAATCAATGTGTATTACAAATGGATCATCATTGTCCATGGACGATGAATTGTGTTGGACATGGGAATTTACCTCATTTTTTAAGGTTTTTGATTTGGGTTATATTTACGTGTGGATATTTATTTATTCAATTATGTAAACGAATTTTTCAATATTATGAAGAATCAGATTTACCTATTTATTTAATTAGTAAGCGGGAAATGGTTGCTGTTATATTTTTAACTCCAATTGATTTTTTAGTATTTGCTTCATTGGTGATTTTATTTATTAGATGTATTATAAATACAGTATTTAGAGGGATGACCCAAATTGAAGTTTGGGAATGGGAAAGAATTGAATCACAATTTTATACTGAGAGATTATGGAGTCAAATTAGACATAATTATTTTAAATTACATGGGAAAGAATTACCAAAACTTTCAACTTGGACAACCACAAGAGTACGAGATCTACCAGAAGAAGAGGAAGAAGAAGAACATCTTCAACCACAACAGGACGAAGACAGAGACTCCCAAGAATTATCCTCATCAGTCATAGTCCCCCAAAATTTCACAATCGACGACCTAATCTTCCCTTATGATCTCGGAATATGGAGAAACACCATCCAATCCTTCGGATATCCTTGGATGTGGCTATTACCTTTGGCAGGACCCAACTCAAATGGAGTCCACCCTGAAAAATCTCAAGAATATATAGAAGATGATCAATTAAACCTACCTTGGCCTCCAGATGGTGGACATCAAGAAATCACAATCAGGAATCAACCTATATCTGATGAAGAATTACTAGAAAGATATCGTCATGATATTCCTGGATTGAAGAAATATCTTGATCCAAGGTCGACTATGAGACGGAATGAATGGATGAATGATTTAGGGGAGACTTTGGATGATTTTGGAGTTGATTTGGAGGCTGAAGATAGTGAGAATGAAGAATTATTGATAAGAACTTCGGAGTAATGTTTGGAGTGAGTCAACCAGATAGGAGAGATAATAGAAAAAGAAATGTTAAAAAATTATGGCTCTTAGCCGGACCTACATGTGAACATTTCCATTGTTTCAAGTATAACAATGTGTTTGACTTGGTGATGTGAAATATTATAAAATGTATAGAATCTTAAAAGTGTGGTCGATTAAAATAATAAACGTTGTAAAGTTAACCAAATAGTGGGGTACTGCATATACACCTCATGTCACGTGAATTTTGGTGATTGATTTAAATTTTTCATTATTTTAATTTTTTTAATTCTTGTGTAATATTAAATTAACTAATTATACTTCAATCTGATGCCATTTATGCATTGAGGGCAAATACGACGAGAGATTGGTCAACAAATTTATAGATAAATAAATACACAATCGGATCCATTTAAATTTTCCACAATTTTCCTACTTTTTCTTTCTTTTCCTTTTCTCTTCTTTCTTTCTTCTTCTTCTTCTTTTCACATCAACCTTAATAGATAACTAACTAAGTAAATAATGTCTCCACATCAAACTTTAAGATTAGGTTCTGTTGCTCCAGATTTCCAAGCCGATACTTCCAATGGTCCAATTTCATTCCATGAATACCTTGGTGATTCTTGGGCTGTTCTTTTCTCTCATCCAGATGATTTCACTCCAGTATGTACTACTGAATTAGGGGCATTTGCTAAATTAGAACCAGAATTTGCTAAACGTAATGTTAAATTAATTGGTCTTTCTGCTAATAATGCTGATTCTCATCAAGCTTGGATTAAAGATATTGATGAAGTTACTGGTTCTAAATTATCATTCCCAATTATTGCTGATCCAGAAAGAAAAGTTGCTCATTTATATGATATGATTGATTATCAAGATGCTACTAATGTTGATGATAAGGGGGTACAATTTACTATTAGATCTGTTTTTGTCATTGATCCATCTAAAAAAATTAGATTGATTTTAGCTTATCCTGCTTCTACTGGTAGAAACACTGCTGAGGTCTTGAGAGTTATTGATTCTTTACAAACTGGTGATAGATATAGAGTTACTACGCCAATTAATTGGGTTCCTGGAGATGATGTTATTGTTCATCCAACTGTTTCTAATGAAGAAGCTAAAACTTTATTCCCTAAATTCAGAATCATTAAACCATACTTGAGATTAACCCCATTGGATATTAATGAACAAAAGTAGAGTATTATAAAAAGATGTTTTGTAGTTATTTAATTACATAGTGTGAAATGATATAAGATAAATTTTTCAAAAGTAAGTAAGGTTTTAAAGTTTTAAAGTTTTTCAATGAAATCTTTTTTGTGAGATAAATAACGTTGTAAAAAGGGTTGATTTGACTTTTATGCAAGCTTTAATTAAAATTGCAAGTTAATTTCATATGTAACCTTTTGATACGGCAGCATATTCTGTAATTCACGTGTAATATAGTCAATTGCAACATACACGCAAAATTCAGAGAAGGGCACTATCTACAACATGAAACGCGCTAACAAAAATTTTTATCTCTCTTCTACATTTTATGAGCATGACTCTGACTCTTTTAACTAATATACAAATTATTTCTATTATACAATTCACATACATACAAATTTTACATCTTTTTTTAGTGTACACCACCAAGCTTTTCAAAAGCAAACATAATAGTACAGTAAATATACCCCCTTTTTATGAAACCTTATAAAACCACTCTATTGTTTTTTTTCTTACATCATTTCATCATCATCATCATCAAACTCTGGTGAATAATCAATACCACTACAGTCAAATTCTTCTCCTGAAGTTTCATTCATCCCAAAATAATTCTCATGTTCTTGTTGGAATTCATGACTAGGAGTTCCTCGTTGAGGTTGTGGTTGTTGCATATGAGAATAATGACGTTGTTCAACTGATGGAGGTGGTGGAGTAATCCCTTGATATCCATCTCTTACATAACTTTCAGCTTCACAATCAGGACTAAATCTTCTATTTGGAGTCTTGACATCATCGCGAGGCATATTATGACTTGCATAAGGACGCGTCTGCTGCTTTGCTGTTGGCTGTGATTGATATAATGATTGTGGAGTTGATGGCATACTTGGAGTTGTTTGTTGATTTACATTATTATAAATATCATCAATTTTATTATTATTTTGAAAAGTATAATCTGAAAATGACATATCTTCAAATTTTGTCATTGTTTCTCCAGTTATTGGATCTTGAAATTGTCTTAATGAACCCCAAGGGGTTATTTTCACTATTCCTCCATCGGGATGGGAATATTGTGGCCATTCATTTGAATCTGTTAATTCTTCTCTTGTTGTTTCATCAATAAAATTTTTAATCTTTTTGCAATCTGGTTCAAATTCATCTCGCTTTCTCTTTGGGGTAAATTCCATTATTGACATGTAAAAAAAATTATTATTTGTTTGTGAATATCTTATGACTGACTGCTATGCTATGTATTAGTCTGTGGTATATATATTGTATATGTGATTGTAAGCTGCTATTGGCAAATATCCTTTAATAAGTTAAGTTGCAACCCTTCCTACTTGCAAAAAAGAAAGTGAAAGAAAAAGAAAAAAAGAATTGAAAAAAAAAAATTCTTCCAAAGATAAAAGAAGAAAAAGAAAAATGCAGCCATTGAAAAATAAAAACGCGGGCGGGATTTTAATGGGAATTTATAACAAGTAAACTTTTTACGTAAATAGATTGTTACATAAAACAATTCTTCTTCCTGTATGTATGTAGCTCTTGCATTGGCTTGGTAATAAATAAATTCTTACTCTTCCTAACTTTCCATTTCTACAGATTCGTCTACTTGTAATCCTAATTTACTTGCCCCAAAGCACCGCCTCACCTACATCTCATTTTTATGCAACTCGTTCTCTTTGAATGACAGTCCTGTCACGTTATTTACGAGAGTGCGAACGACACTTTGCAAGAGACTTACTAGAGGTACCAATGTAAAATCTTCACTCTATAATGTTTGATATGCTTTATATTACGAAGAAACCCGGTAGTTGTTTCTACCTTACTAATTTTTTGTAGGACAAAATTAGCCAGATAGCGAACTACAGAGAGGGGCCGCCAAAAAAAAGCGAAATAGGAGCATTATCAGAGGGTCCTGTATATAACCAAAACCAGCATTTTCTCTGATTATGTAATCGAATTTCCTCGGAATCCAATTTCCTTTCTTTATTTTTTTTTTCTTGGATGAGAAAGAAATTTGGGATTTTTGAAAGTAGGTAGTGTTAATTACAAAATAGTCATGTGATTAAGGTCATGTGACATAAAATAATTATATACAGTACTTATTGTAGGTTGTAAAAAACATAGCCAATAAAACAATTTCATTTTCTAATTAAGTAACAAAACATCAATCACTCACTAGAAAAAATATTTCATACAGTACACACCTTTAAACCCATACAAAAAAAAAATCTCCAATAGAGTGAAGAAGTTTAATTGAGAGTTTTGAAAAAAAAAGGACATTAAAGAACTTACAAGGAAAGGGACGGTTTCAATTTAACTTCATTACTTATAATCAGACTCATTTAGCACGTCCACTACCTTATACATATATATTGATTTATATATTTTTATTTATTCAAACAACAACCCATCAATCTCCCTTCATATTGCATAATCAAACCACCACACAATGTTGAGAGCTACAAGAATAAGTCGTGCTATTAAACCAACCACCACCAGCCAATTCATAAAATCATTTACTACATTTCCCCAATTAAGAAATGCCAATGATATTCCACCAGCACCATATGTTCCAAAAGATAAACGTAATGCTTTGGGTCGTCAACCTCAAAGATATTCTGATTTTACCACCAAACATTTTTTTACTGAAGTTTTTGATGAAGTTGATATGATTTATCGTAATGATGATGATCCAACTAAAGTTGCAAAACAAAATACTAAAATTCGTCATTTTACTATAAATTTTGGACCTCAACATCCTGCTGCTCATGGTGTTTTGAGATTGATTTTAGAATTACATGGTGAAGAATTAGTTAGATCTGATCCTCATGTTGGTTTATTACATAGAGGAACTGAAAAATTAATTGAATCAAAAACTTATATGCAAGCATTACCATATTTTGATAGATTGGATTATGTTTCTATGATGACTAATGAACAAGTATTTGCTTTAGCAGTTGAAAAATTATTAAATGTTGAAATTCCAATTAGAGCAAAATATATTCGTACTTTATTTGGAGAAATTACCAGAGTTTTAAATCATTGTATGTCAGTTTTAACTCATATTATGGATGTTGGTGGATTAACTCCATTCCTTTGGGGGTTTGAAGAACGTGAAAAATTAATGGAATTTTATGAACGTGTTTCAGGAGCAAGATTACATGCTGCTTATGTTAGACCGGGTGGTGTATCTCAAGATTTACCTGCTGGGTTATTAGATGATATTTATATGTGGGCAACTCAATTTGGGGATAGAATTGATGAAGTTGAAGAATTATGTACTGATAATCGTGTTTGGAAAGATAGAACTATTGATGTTGGGATTGTTTCTGCTGAAGATGCATTAAATTATTCTCTTTCTGGAGTTATGTTAAGAGGTTCCGGTGTTCCATTTGATATTCGTAAATCTCAACCTTATGATGCTTATGATTTAGTTGATTTCGATGTTGCAGTGGGATTGAATGGTGATTGTTATGATCGTTATTTAATTAGAATGGTTGAATTTAGACAATCATTAAGAATTATTCATCAATGTATTAATGATATTCCTGAAGGTCCAGTTAAAGTTGAAGATTTTAAGATTTCTCCTCCATCAAGACAATTAATGAAGGAAGATATGGAAGCTTTAATTCATCATTTCTTATTATTCAGTAAAGGTTATGCCGTACCTCAGGGGGAAACTTATACTGCTATTGAAGCTCCAAAGGGTGAAATGGCCGTTTATGTTGTTTCTGATGGTACTGAAAGACCTTATAGATGTAAGATTAGAGCTCCAGGTTTTGCTCATTTAGGTGCATTTGATCATATTTCTAGAGGTAATTTATTAGCTGATGCTGTTGCTATTATTGGTACTATGGATTTGGTCTTTGGTGAAGTTGATCGTTAGTCCCCTATTGATTTTTATTTATTTCCCCCCCCCCTTGTATAACACATAAAGTATTCCCATCACCCCCATCATCATCACTACCATTACCAATTTGCATATAAATACACATCCATAACGAACAGAGTAATTCCTCTTTGGTTTCATTTTTTATTTATGTTTTTTATTGACTTTTAAGTATTATTTTCACAATTGTCTGATTTTTAGTTTACAGAGCTTAGTTTAGTTTTATATATAAAATAAATTATTACTATTTATCATTTTGGCTTGATTATAGTTCTATGACGATCTTTTATTATTATACCATATAAATATTACTCTATAAACTTTTTTCATAACTCCCCAGACCTGTTTAACTAAACAAATTAAACAATATATATATCGAACTTAAAGCTCCTCCTGCAATCACTATATTCCTAATCATACTTCCTGAATCATCATGGGCCTGATACATATGTTGTTGATACAGACTCCCTCCACTACTGCTAGTATGATTATTCTGTCCCCCTGATATTGCTCTCCGTTGAGAATTCACATGTCTTGATAAATACTTTATCTTAACTTCTTCCGACGCAGAACTATTCTTCAATTCCAGTAAAATTCTATCTTTACTAGCTTGATCTAATTGTTTTTCAAGTTGTAATTGTTCAAATTTAAGATTTCTATTCAAATGTTCTTGATAATCGAAATGTGGAACTGAATATCGATTTCCATAATCTCGATGTTGTCCTTCAAAATTCGTATCCCCCGATGATGATGATGATGCTCCGGCCAGATTTCCATTAAAATAAACCCGATGTCTTCTGGTGTTATATCCCAGTGCAGTATAATGATGACTGCTACCAGATCGAGAATAATATTTCGCTTCCCCATAATATTTATTATTAAATTCCCCCAGCCTTCTATATGCCAGTTGTTGTCCACCATAAAACAGTCCCTGAGATTTTAGGGTCATATCATATTGTCGTTTCTTTTTGGCGTCTTTTAAAGTATCATATGCATCTACCATTTTCACAAATTTTGCATTATTTATTTCTTTATCTTCCTTGGATAAATGTTGATTTAAATCAGGATGATATTTTTTGGAAAGTTTCTTGAATTGCATTTTTATATCTTTGATAGATGCATTGAGGGGGATATCTAAGAGTTGATAATGGTTTAATGTTGCTGCAGCTGTACTATAATGCCGTATTATATTCGGAAACATAGTTTTTGGTTTGTGTGTAGTGCTTATAGGAAGATTGAATGAAGGTGATCACACTACGTATTTAAAGAATTGCTATCTGATTTTTTTCTTCTTTGATTGGGGAAGCGAGTGCGTAGTAACGTAGGAAATTGATGTGATGTGGAAAAAATCGGGTAAAAAAATAATTCAAACAATAATAACCGATAGGGAAACAATTTATGCAATTTCTTTTTTTGTTGATGATGTTAGAGAAATGGAATTTTTGCAGCAATTATAAATGTGTCATTGACAATAGGTTGTCAAGATTACATGAAGGCTTTATGAACTTTCCAATCAAATGATTTGAAGAATGTGTACTTTGCCAGCATTGCTTTTTCTAATGGTTTTTGCAGCCAAATATTTTGGTAATATAGTTGAGGCTTTTTTTAGATCCTATTCTTTTTTATCACATTTTTGTATTAGAGTATGTATGCTTTATAACTGTGGTGGAGGTGTAAGTGAAAACAGAGTAATATTCGCCATAGTTTTAAACCTATTGTATAAATAAAATAGTAAAATGTTGCATCCCCGTACTCGGAAAACACGAAGGTAAGGCGAGTAAAAGTGTGAATAAAGCCCGTTTTTTGACGCCTTTTGTTCTTTACAATATCAACTAAGACAAGGTCAGTCTTATCTGGTTTTCTGAAATCCCAGCTTTCAAGAGTGATGGTTTTAACTTCTTATATACAAACCCCTTGTTGAAAATTTCAAAAATTTATATGACCTTGGCGGGAACCACCCCCCATCCACACAATGGCTCTCTTCCTATAGAAAAAAAAAGATAGTCACCCTTTTTGTTGGGCGATGGTTACGCGCGTCGATGGTTACCTTTTAGCGCAGTGCAGTGTGAGATTAACTAAGTAGGTTGCACCCTTGAACCAATGCATAAGAGGTAGCTGGTCTCATATCATCGACATAAACTACAACTGATGAGATAAAAACTCTGGGCTTGTTTGCTGGGTTGAACGGAAGTTGAAGATGATAGCGGTAGTCATTAGAGCATCCATTCTTCAATAGAGCTTTTGAATTCCTTGAATTTCTTTTTTTTTTTTCTTGTGGACTAAAAAAAACCTTTTTTGTAAAAGAAAAAAAAGGATTTACATTTTTTTTGACGTTTTTACACACACCACATTAATAAATACTCACACTTTCTCACTCTCTCTCTCCTTAACAACCCTCAATAATCATTCATTCACGTCTTCTTCCCATTTTTTTTTTTTACAAACACCTACTACAACTACTACAATAAAACTAAACTATCCAACTTAAAAGTATTAATACCACACTACCCTTAAGTAACCAAACACACACTCCATCCATATTAGTATTTACTTCATATTTCGTCATTTTTTTATTTGCATTTCCTTTTATACCCTTTGTTTCTCAAACATAGCATATATTTGTCATCACTCAACTTTAGTTCCACACACACACAGACACACACACAATAATATGAGTTCTAAATCAGCAGCAGCCATCTTACAACGACAATTCAAAGATTTAACTGATCCTAAAAAGGGTATTCCATCTTTCCATATTGAATTAGATGATGATAATATCTTTTTATGGAATATTGGAATAATGGTTTTAAATCCAGATTCAATTTATCATGGAGGTTATTTTAAAGGACAAATGAGATTCCCTAGTGATTTCCCATTCTCACCACCAACTTTTAGATTTACTCCAGCAATATATCATCCAAATATTTATCGAGATGGTAGATTATGTATTTCTATTTTACATCAAGGAGGAGATCCAACAAGTGATGAACCAGATAGTGAAACTTGGACACCAGCACAAACAGTTGAAAGTGTTCTTATTTCAATTATTTCCCTTTTAGAAGATCCAAATGTTTCAAGTCCTGCTAATATTGATGCATCAGTTGAATTTAGAAAGAATCCGGAAGAATATAATAAAAAAGTATTAAAAGAAGTTGAAAGATCAAAAGCTGATATTCCTGAAGATTTCATTATGCCAGATTCTGAACATAGTGCTTATGGTAATCATCATGCTAAAAATAGAGAAGTAATTGAAGAACCTGTAGATGAAGATTTTTGGTATGAAAGTGAAGATGAAGAAAGCTTTGATGAAGAAAGCTTAATGGATGATATGGAAGATCATGATGATGACGATGAAGAAGAAGAAGATGACGAAGATGTTGACATGGGTGGGAAATAACATCCAAGAGTTTTCCCTGTCCCTTTTTCCTACTTAGATTAACTTATTTGATCACTCTCTTTAAGAGAACTGATAATTTCATTTAACAAATCTATCTACAAATTCCCTTGTAAATCCTATAAAGTTTGGTCGACGTATAAATTGGTTTTAACTCATAATGATTCCACCCCTTTTTAATAAATATCTAATCCCTATTGCCTAATTCAAAGTACACGTCCCCATTCATTCCATTCATTCCCATTATCATCATTTTTATCTTTTTGTTTTTTTGTTGACTGTGTTTATTTTAGTTCAAATTTAATCCTTATTGTTAATTATTATTATTATTATTACCTTGGTAGTGGAGAGGGTCTTTTATTATGTGTTTTTTTTTAGTCAACCATTTTTTATGATGATGATGAATTTATGTTGGTTATATTATTTATTTTATAACGATAATAATGATGATGATACATGTTGAATGGAATAAACGTAAAGAATAGAGGATTATGATATTATTACATACTACTACACATTGTTTGGGCTTTCTTATTTACATTATACATACATCCATACATCTACACCTTATTTGACAAAAAAAAAGTGAATTTATACAGATTGTTGTTTGTTTTATATAAAATTATCCTTTATATCTGAATTGGAGTGATAAAAAATTCTTCTTTTACTTTTCTCATCTTCTTTTGCATACTTTTTATATTATTACATATTAATTTATATTACTTAATTCTAACTTAACTTCTCTTCTTATAAATAAATTAATAAATCTATTATAATAAACTGTAACTTAATTGTAATTTATTGATAATGTAAAAACTATTGAATCTCTTTTGACAACCAAACTATATGTATGTGTTGCAAAAATACAAAATCTATCTCTAACTACATCTATATAAAATCATCATCATCAACCTATCAAACTTTATTATATCCAATCAATCCATCATTCAATGCATCAACAATCCCATCCAACTTCAATTTAGCAACAGCATCACTCATATATGCATCATAAAACAAAACAACACACATAGTTTTCTTCCTCTGTTGTTGTTGCAGTTTTTGTTGTTGCAGAATTTGTCTCTTATTCTCAACATCTCTGCTACCGCCATCCTCACCCTTTGTCATACCAGGTATGATTTCAATCCCTTCATCATCTCCACCACTAACTTCTGGCATAAGCGGATGTGTACCTCTCCCCGGATATAATTTGGCAATTATACATTTAATCCCCTCAAAATCAACTATATTCCAATTATCCCCTCCTCCTCCATGTGTTGCTGCTGTTGTTGTTTCTAATGAATTATAGGCCAATAAACTATATATCCTCAAACTATCATGACTTAATTCATTTCGATTCGAAACGGTGATTAACGGGATTCCTTGGGTTGATAAAAGTGAGATCGAAATTGGACTAACTTGTAAGGTTGGTGATTGTTGCTTTTGTTGCTGCTTCTGGGGGGAAGAGGTAGATAGTAGCAGAGCATTGGCAGTTGTGTGTGCTGGTGATGATGATGTGGTGGATGTTGCTTGTGGTGGTGTTGTTAGTGATTGCTGGATTTGATGTTGTGATTGTGGTTGGAATGGGATTGTGATTGGTGTGAGTCCTTTTGAAAGGAGTTTGGATATTGATTTTTGTTGAAGCATTTGGTTAAACAGTGGTATTAATGGTTTGGTATACTAATATAAGACACACTATTATAATCGGAATCGTCTCTTTTTCTGTTGCTAATTGATGTTTAGGGTTTTTTTATTATGGAGAGAGGTGAAATCAGAGGTAGTGTACAAAGATCAATTTTACACATCTACCTGTAAACCCTTCTTACCCATAGGCTTCAATGGGTCATATCGTGTAATCCAATGAATTTTATAATAAGCAGTATTATATAAACTATCCTTAGTATTCTAGATTCTTCTATAAAAATCATATTTCTATAAATTAATCTAAAATTTCTATCAAAAATTTAATGCAAAATGGTCCGTCAAATTTTGGTTGCAAAAAAACAACCATCCACTCTCTACAATGAAAACAATCCTGTTCTTCTCTTTCCAAAAGGATAAACAACCAAAGCAGCCGCAAACAACCCAACACTAATCCCAATAGCAACTTCAACCATAGCAGCACCAAAACTTAAAGAGGTAGCACTATCCGTGGTACTACCAGTCGTTGTCGTTCCATTCTTATTGGTAATCCGATCAGCTGTAGCTAAACCCGAAATCAATGTACTCTTAGATGCAAGTCCCCCTGGAACTTGCACGAAAATAGCCGGTAACATCGCCGATACCGCCATCCCCTTCCCGATCCTAGAGTACAAATTCCCTAAAATTCCAACTATAAATGCCCCAATACAAGCAGTAAATTCAGTTACTTGTGAGAAATGTAATCCGGCGAAATATGTCGCAACATAACCAGCACTGGCAATAATAATCATTATTGGAGTTTGTTTCCAATGAGCTTGATTAATTAATCCTAAACAGAGGGCAAACATTGGCACGAACAAGATTCTAAATTTTGGATCCATAGCATGACCAGGTCGACATGAATTGTCCAGGACGGCATTTTTATCAACCCATCCATATAATGCTGCCCCTAGAGTGATACCAAACCCGAGGAAAAGTGAATATATAATCGCATAAAACATTCGAACTGATCCGGCAACAATATTCCGTGATTGTAATTCCAAAGACCCACATAAGATAATATATCCTGGTAAAATCAATGCCAAAGATCCTTGAACAATGGCTGAAAAACAAAATGTATCACCCAGATTAATTGATGCTATTCCTCTAGCTATAAATGAAACAACAATAGCGGCGGAGACTTCAAATACTGACGAATACAAGTGCGACATCGATGACACATAAAATTGAAGAAATCCGACACAAAGTCCCACCGCGAAACATATAGGTACATCAATCCATCCACCTTCGAATGCAAATGGGGTGACTGCGATAGAACCCAATCCGTAAAATAACACACATAACCAAGGGGGATATATGTCCTTTTTGGCTAATAAATCATCTAATTTCTTCGTTGCATTTTCAACCCCAATCAAATCATGAATCACGGCTTTATATACACGATGAGTTTCATTTAATTTAGAAAGATTTAACCCTTGAGTACATCTAATCAAATGAACTTCTGAGGTTCTGGTGGCGGCATCACCGAATGAAACCAACATACATCCCGGGAAATAGATAAATTGTCCATCAATTTCAAGCACTCGACTAGTCATAATCATATATTCTTCCAATCTATGGGTGGGGGCACCAAACAACATTAATGCCCGACACATCTTCATGATAAATCGTTGTCGTTGTAATATATCGGCAATATGGACCGTGATTTTTAATCTTTCTTCTTTTCGTTTATTTTGTTTGAATTTGAATTTATTGGTTGGTTCAGCTGAAGATTTCATTTTGGGTGCTTTTTTGGGTTTAGCATTTTGGAAAGAAGGAAGATGGAAATCTTCCTTTTCATCGTTATCATCATCATCATGAGGTTCGTCATATTCGTTTTCAGATGATGAGAAATCCTTAGATGTTGAAGAAGAATGTCCTTTCTTGCCATTCTTGTTGAAGATATTCTTGGGATTCATCTTTGCTCCACCCTGTTTCAAAATATCCAAAGTCAGGGTTCCCTTTGAAGAATCATAATAATATTCACTCCCACTATCATCATAAGTACTTTGTTTCGTCAATGTCGATACCGATGATTTATTGGCCTGAGGATTCTGATATAATCTTAACAATGAGGATAAAACTCCTGCATGAACCTGTTGGGGACGATTAATATATTCTCCATCCAAATCTTGGAGATAATCATTATGTCCATCATCTTGATTTTCATCACGTAAGAATAGTTCAGGATTTGGGGCATAGAATCCATCATCTGAGTTATGATGGATTGATTTTTGTCGTTGTAAATTATTTGTAACTGTTTCACTCGAACTACTACTACTTCCTTCTTCTCGAATATCGTCTAATCCCATTTGATTTTCCGTCAATCTTGCTCTTGAATCGGTTCGGAATGGTCCCTGGGGTTGTTCTGATTCACTATGTTGATAGCGATCTTTTGCTTCATGCACATGTTGAGAAATCAATTGTCTTGCTTCTTCATTCAATTCTTCAAAATTTAATTGCCTCAATTCAATCCCATCCCTATCATCTTCAACATTCGAAAACCCCACTCTTCTTTCTTCATCTTGAATTGGATTCTGGTTTCGACTCACTCTTGATGCACCAGGGACTAATCCACCTCCACTTAGACCCCCACTTGGACCGCCAAAGTTTAACATCCTGGCAATAAATGTGTCACTTCTTGATAGATCCTGATGCGGGTGCTCAAATGATGACTCATTCGCAAATGGATCACCCCGATCTGCTAATGACATTTTTCGTAATATTCCTTTGATTCCTTTATTATTATTACTATTTGTACCAGTTTTACTCATTTTTCTTTTTGGTTGGGAGTTGGAAAGTGATGATTTGGACCGGATTGAACTTTGTCTTGATCTCCGACCTGCTTGATCCGTTATATCTATATCCTCTCTCGGCGGTATCGACCCTTCTTCATCTGATGAACTTGAATAAATTTCCCGAGGAGGGATCGATAAGTGATTTGGTTCTAGGTTATCATGGTAGTCTTCGTTATCTTGGTGGTGTCTTGCGATTGTTGGGTCTGAGTGAATAGCTCCAAATCTAAATTGTGCCAACTTTGCTGCCTCATCATCATCCTCTCCCTCTTCTTCTTCTGAGCCGCTGCTTGTTGAATATGTAGTATCAGGTCCGGAAATGGCTTCTTTGGGGTTTTGGGGGTTGTATGAATCAGGATATCGTTTCTTGTTCTTGGGTTTCTTTATCTTGGTGGCTTTTGCGAGGTTTTGTGTAGCTTTGGCTAGATTTTGTTTGGGTGATGTGGTGTCCTTTCGAAGATTCTGTTTCCGGATTTGGTTTAAGTTTATTTGTGGGAGTTGAATATTTGAAGTATGATTCAGTTGATCTCTAAATGGAGATTCAGTATCTGAATCACTGGAATAGTTGTAAGGTTGTCCAGTAGACATGATTACTCTTTGTTTACTCTATAATAACACTATGTCTGTGTAATCTACTCTCGATTCTCTCCTTTAGCGTGGAAGTTGTAAAAATGTGAAAAAAAAGTTAAATATATAAAATTATAAATTTCTTGTAGTGAAGTTTAATGTTATAAATAGAAATGAAAAATCTCATGAGATGTTAAATCAGACAGACAGATTTTAAATATTTTATAAGACAAGAAAAAAAGAAAGACTAAATGAAAAATACGTAAAACTGTCACAAGATTACATCATCTCACTTCAATTTACTTCACTTCAGTTGTAACACAATCACATAACACAATAGAAATCATTAGGGTAAGTGTTTCAGAGAGTATTTTACTATTGCTAACAGCAATCATACCCTGGTGACACTAGATCTAACTAGTTTTCCCATCTTCATTTTATGGATTGGCTATAATTAGAAGTACGACCCACGGATTTATGTCCAAACTAATTTACGCCAAGACGCGTTTTTGTGGAACATTTCCTTCTATGTTCTAGAACCCAAATCGCCAAGCAGCTTCTCGATGGAGAGAAGGTAATTTGCAATTAGAATATAATACGAATTAAATTTTGGTCAGGACAGTGATTCTATATTGGTTAGGAACTTGCTAGTATTAGCAGTCTAGTCCTCGTACGTAAGAAGTTTACCTCTTATGGTTTAGTAACTATACATTCGCAATTTTCCTCGGGAGATAACTCTCTGATGCGGGGGCATTGGAGACTTTGTGGAAGATTACACTCCTGCTTCACTCTTATTAGTTTTGTCAGAGGAAGACTAGAACCTTATCGTTAGTCTTATATCATCTACAAGATTGATGGACTAGAGGGTTTCGGATGAGATTATTCTCCCTAAAACCCGTCACATTTTAGCCCTGGTTTTTTGTATAAACAAATTGTCTACTGTTAACTACAAACTCTAGACACTTTCTTCCCATTGAACACCGCACCATTCTTCGATATATGCAACATTATTCTCATCAAACTCTTCTTCTGGCATATAATCTTCAACATCAGTACAAACTATAATAGTACCCCAAGACATTCCATTAAGAATATCAGCAATTTGAATATCATTATCATTAATCTGTTCCAAATCGATAATTGCCTTTGGCATCAATTGTAATTCAAATTGACGTTCTGAAGAAGGATTAAACCCTGGTCTTGGAATATTGACTGGTTTACTTAAAAATTTCTTCGCTATTTCATCTCTTCCATTATATAATAATGGCTTTCCACCTAAATTATATCTTAAAACTTGACCAGGATTATGTTTGACTGTATTTGCAAATGCTTCAAAATATTTATCATCCAACATATTGTATATTTTAGTTCTTTGAGGATCCAATACAGCAGAAGATGAAGATCCTCTTCTATTACCTTTGTTGCTGGATGAGCCTTCATTGTCCTTTTCTACATCCATGTCTATTAAATGTTTATATTTTTCCAATTCTGGATCATTGTCGATTTTCTTAAATTTTTCAGTATCCACATAAACAAATGAACCATTATATTCTGGAAGATTAGATGAGAGTGTTTTTTTGGTAGGTTTGGTTTTTGGAACATTCTTTGAAGCCACTGATGCATATGATTCTGGTTTTTTGGTACTGGTGGTTTCTTCTTTGGATTTTCCAAATGGATTTGCTTCAAATGGATTCAGACCACCTCCAGAACTAAATGGATTGCTAGATTTGGTGTCGAAAGGATTGGATCCACCGAATGGATTTTCAGATGGTTTATCATCTGATTTCTTGAATAAATCCTTGGTTAATTCAATTTGCAATTTCTTTTGATTATCTAATTTCAATTTCTCATCTAAATCCTTCTTTGCAGCTTCTTCAGTTTCCTGTTTGATTTTATTTATAGTTTCTTGATCCTTTATAATCCCTCTAATGGCTTTTATACTTCCCTTTTTCTTAGAACATTGAGCAGTATTCTTACAACCAAATACATAAATCACTCTGTCATAAAGTTTGCCATCCATGGGCGCAAAAGCTTGTAGAAGCAATGCCATCTTTTTTTGACAATTGTCACAAGTCAACGAACTTTCTTTAGGTGTGGAGTTTGGATTGAGCCATATTGGTTGTCCACCAATAAATGTATCTTCAATGGTTGGAAGATCATTGTCTTCTGGACCTTCTTGATTGGATACAATTGGAGCATCAACAAATCCTAAAAAGACATCTGATTTTTGGGATTCATCAAATAATTCTTCTTCATCTGAAGAGTATTCGTCGTGCGATGACATGATTTGGAGTTGTTTAGCTACTACCGTCAATTGGTATATGATGGGAAAGATGATTGGTAGGTCAAATTGAGATGAGATTCTAGAACTTTTTTTTTTTTGCCCATCAGAACCTAATAGAGAGACTCCAGTATGAGCAAGCCAGTTTATAAATAAATAAATAGTTTATTTATGTAATTATATACAAGATTTTACTATATAATAACTATTACTTTACTTACAAGTATCGTTTATGTTCAATTTCTTCATAAACTTTAATAACATCACCTTCTTCAAACTCTTCCCAACCTTCGAATGAAAGACCACATTCTTGACCTAATTTAACTTCCAGTACAGTATCTTTATTTTGTTTCAAAGTAGATAATGTTCCCTTGTAAACTTCCTTATCGTTTCTAAATACCATAACCTTAGCTGATCTCTGGAGAGATCCAGTATTAACCTTACACCCAGCAACTTTGACTTTAGAACCTTTGGCTTTGATTTCGAAAACTTGCCTAACTTCAATTTCAGCCAATGTCTTAACCTCAATTCTTGGTTTCAATTGAGCATTTAATTCTTCTGTTACTTGTTCAATCAATCTATAGATAACATTATGTTCGCTAATGGAAACTTTTGCTGCTTCTGCTTTTTGCATTATTGGTTTAGGAACTTTAATATTAAAACAAAGTATACTAGCACCTGTAGTCTTGGCCAATTCAATATCTCCATCAGTTGGAGCACCTGCTTCATGAGAAACAACGACAGATTTAACTTCTTCATTACCCAAACCAGAAATACTCTCTTCTATTGCTTCTGCTGATCCAAACACATCGGCTTTAATGATATATCTACATTGTTTGACACTGTCCTCTTCTTCCTTTTCATATTCACTAGCATCTAATCCAGCTTTCTTCAATTTCGCGATTTTTTCAAGACGTTCAGATTCCTTAAGATTATCAAGTCTCTTTTCATTAATAACTTCAATGTCTCTAGCTGCTTCAATTTCTTTGGCTTTGGTTATTCTATAGTCAACACATTTCTTAGCTATCGCTTCCGATTTTGCTTGTATTACTTGATCACCACTATCTGGTAAATCTTTCCAACCCCAGATTTGGACAGGTGCAGATGGACCAGCAATCTTGACAGGTTTACCATTTTCATCTCTCATACCTCTAATCTTACAGTAAGTTTGACCAGCGACGATAACATCCCCAGGCTTAAGACTTCCTCTACGAACTAACACAGTTGTCAGATTTCCGAGTCCTTTTACAACTTGAGATTCAATAATCCAACCATCGGCTGGAATACCAGTATGTTCTGCTTTGAATTCACATAATTCACTCAATGTAATAACTGCTTCTTCTAATTTATCCATATTCATTCCCGTTTTGGCAGAAATACGAACAGTTTGAGTCTCACCACCATAATCTTCAATATCAACCTCATGTCTAGAAAGATCAGCCAACACCTTATCGATATCAACTCCATGTTTATCACACTTGTTGATAGCCACAATCATAGCCACACCTGACTTTTTGGCATGTTTGATAGCTTCAACAGTTTGGGGCATGACTGAATCTTCCGCAGCCACGACTAAAATAACAATATCGGTAATAATTGCCCCTCTTTCTCTCATCTTAAGGAATGCAGCATGTCCTGGTGTATCCAAGAAAGTAATCTTCTTCTTTGACATTGGAGTTATGACAGAAAACGCACCAATATGTTGAGTAATCCCACCAAATTCTTGAGCTACAACATTGGCTTTTCGTAAATAATCCAAAATTGTCGTCTTACCATGATCAACATGACCCATGATTGTAACAACTGGTGGTCTTTCTTTTAAGAGTTTTTCATTCACAGGAGCTGGGAAAAGATCCTCATGTTGGTCATCTTTTTCAGAAACTAAAACTTCGATATTATATTCATCAGCAATCAAAGCCGCATTGTCTCGATCAAGTAAATAATCATGTCTGATATCTTCAAATCCCAACCCTTCTAATTTCTTAAATACATCCTTAATAGGAGCCTGCATGATGGTGGCTAAGTTGGATACGGAGACGAAGGGAGGTAAATGGATCTTAACAAGTGGTTTACGTATCTTATTCGTCTTAGTCCTCCTCTTTGGATTCCTTGACGTCATAAAAAAATTACGAGGGTAATGTGCGGGTGGAGGTTTGCTGGGGCTGGCACTTTGATTCTGTGATGGTTGATTCTGTGGAGGTCTTGGACTCTGGGCATGTCTATCAACATTTTGCTGCTGTGGCGGTCTTTGGCCATATTGGCTCTGTGGAGGTCTTTGGCCATATTGATTCTGTGGAGGTCTGGAGCCATATTGATTCTGTGGAGGTCTGGAGCCAGATTGTTGGTATGAACCACCATTTTGTGAATATCCCTCATTTCTGGGTCTATAGCTCTGTTGCTGATTCCTATATTGTGGTGCCTGATCCCTGTTTGGCGGAGATCTATCATAGGATGTGTTTCTGTTAGGAGATGAGTAGTTTGATTGAGAAGGGGCATTGTTACCTGAATATCCTTGGCTCGGTTCCCTTCTTGGCCTGTAATTGCCACCATCTTGACCATGTCTGTTATAATTTGAGTTTTGGTTGTTATTTCTGCTTGGGATTCCGAATTGCTGAGCAAATCTATTGGTTTTTGGCTTTCCAGAATTATTGGAATCGTCTGAGTACAACCTAGTTTGATATACTAAACTCTTGGTGGAACGTAGAATAGATGCATATCTAGTACATCTGTGTATATGTGATGCTAACATTGTTATTCTTCCTTATTGGTTATGAAAAGAAGAGTAGTGTACACTGATGAAGATGCATTAGATAGAAAAGAATTTTTTTCAGCTTCGGATAATTTTTTTTTCCCACCCCTTAGATAAATTGTTAAAAAATATTTGACTGCGAAAATATGCAACACAAGNGAATTTCTCACCACACCCCTTAGATAAATTGTTAAAAAATATTTGACTGCGAAAATATGCAACACAAGTTTTGATTTACAAATGACAACTACAACACAGAACTGTAAATAGAAGATATGTATGGTGGCTAGCTATTAATATATTAATCCCCATTATAAGTAACGTAACCTAAGGATTTACTTTCATTCAAAGTAGCTATCAACTCATCAATATCCTTAAAATTATCATCATCACAAGCAAAATTACGATGTCTATTACTAAGGATATGATCATCAAAACAATCATATTTAACACGACAATTCTCACAATATCCTGGATTTAATTCACGTTGATTATCTTTTTGTTGTTTTTCCAGTGGAGAAGTCTTTCTTTTCTTCATAATAATTCTTCTCTTTAGATTATTCAAATTGATCGATGGGACTTGTGAAACCATTGGTCCTAATCCATTACCACCCGCGGCATTACTATTGAGATTAGAATCCAAGGAGAATGGAACGGCATTAGAAGCACCATTATATCCAGATGCAGCAAATATATCAAATGGTTTGGTGTTGGATTGAAAGCAAGATGAATTTCTAATTAAGCGTGGAATATGAGGTTGGATGAATCTAGATTGGGAAGTGATCACTTCAGGTATAATTTCTCCTCCAGTTGAATCATCTTGTTCTTCTTCGTCTTCTTTGGTTTCCAATTTTTTGGAACTAGATGAATTTTGAATAACTGTGGCATTATGATCTTCTTCATGGGCCTTATCCGTACTGGTACTAGTCCCACTGAAGCCTGAGACAGTCATTGAGACTCCACCATTCTTGATGTTATTCATGATATTATACGTTGCCTTTTTCAACAAAGATCTATATTCTTGAGAAGCCTCGAATTTTCTTTTTCTTCTTAATCTTTGTCGTTCAGAATTAACATCTGAAGGATCTGATACAAATGGACATCTACCATCCAAAGTCATATTTAATGTAGTATATGAATCATCGTTCCATTCACGAATAGCGATTGGACGGACTTTTTGAGAAAGATCATAGACATATAAATAATTCTTTCCAAAATAATGTAAATCATCACGTTTAGCATTTGGATCTCTATCTGTTGATCCAAAGATTTTTTCATCTTTTAATAAATTATGTAAATTATCTTTACTCTTTTTGTTATTTGTCAGATCAGTAGTTAATGAAGCAGGTAAAATATTTTGAGTATTAATTGCATATTCATCAATTCCAGTAGATATATTAATTCCCAAATTTTCCAAGAATCGGAATACTTTATCATAATTCCAGACCTTTATTTTAAAATTTGCAACATTTGAGAATATATCATTTGATGGATAAGTTTTATTAGAATCATATGGACGTCTTGAAACAATAATGGTGACATTATTATCATAAAAGGGAGCTATTTCACATCCGACCAGTTTTAATAACGTGGATGCTCTTCTATAGTCAGACATTTGTTTTCGATTACATTCTTGTATACCTTCGAAATAGACTGCTGATTCGCTTATAATTTTTCTCCATGTTTGTTGCCATTTAAGAAATTCTTCACCAACCAATCTACCAACTGCTCTCGATTGCGGCTGTTGTTGCAGTTGCTCTTGATGTTGGTTATTATGATGGTTATGAAGTTGTTGATGCTGAACTACAACATCCTTTTGTTTTTTTGGTTGAGTCTGTCTTTCAACTTTCTTGGTAGAAATAGAAATATCTCTGTCTATGTGTATTTGGGTTTTGACAGAAACTGTGGTTTCTGTTTCTTTATGATTGAATCGATTTGGTAATTTATTCAATTGATTATGCAAATGCTTCTCTGTTGTTGGTTGCAAAGTTGGGACCGTGTTTATTTTAGTCGAATTTTGCAATTCTTTATTTTCATGTGAGATTTGTTCAGTACTATCTTCCTCTAGCTTCGTTAGATCAATAATCTCTTGATTTGCTTGTTCTGATTGTTCTTCACTGACCTCTTGCAATTCATAATTGACTGGCAGAAATGTTGACGTTGTTGATATTTCATCATTAGCAGAGGGAGCAATTGTTGAAGCAGATTGGGTCTCTACCTTTTCAGCTTTAGTAATAGCTGTAGTAGTTTCAATTGTTGTTGTTGTAGTAGCTACTTTGGAAGGTGACTTTAAATTTGCAACAGTTGTTGATTTTTTTCCTAATGGAGATTGATTTGTAGTTGTAAGTTTACGTGGTGAAGGATCTCCCAGATTCAATTTAGCTCGTTTATGCAATGGTGATGGTATATTAATGTTTGCTGGTCTCAATGGTGGTCTTGGTTTGGTTAGTAATGAGTTGAAATTCTTCTTTAATGCACTACCTGGTTGAGCAACAGATGGTGTTGTTGTTGTTGCCATAGTTGTTGGTGATATTGTATTATGATTATTGATATTTTCTGACATTTTCTCTTAATTGCATTATATGATGTAATTAGTATATGACTACTACTACTATGTGGATATTAGTTTTAGTTTGATATCTATTAAAATCCTTACTATTGATTAAGCTTGTGGTTGTAAATTGAATGATTGGAGAATGAGAGAGAGAAGGAGAAACACGAAAAAAAAAAATTATAAATTTAATTTATTTGTTTTTTATTGTGTAACTAAAATTTTATTAAATGAAAAACTTTTCGTGTATTTTTTTCATTTTTTATTGTAAAATTTAATTAAACTAACATCCTTTGGAAGTTAACCATGCATTGCTTACTTTTAGTAACTTTTCATTAAATGAGATGATCTTAAGCGTAGCAATAAAGATAGACACTACAAGTAAACGCATGGACAATTAAAATTTTATACTCTGGTGCGCCGCACTGGAAACGTAAACAAAAAAAAAACCTTATAAACCATTTCCCCTGTTCGCGTCATATACATCGAAAGTACGACCTCTTATACTAATCCTACAGCTCTAGAAATTGATCCAATGAATATTCCATCAATTCTATATCTCAGGCAAACCAAAAATAAAAAAAAATAAATGAAAGGGAATTGCTGGTGTGTATAATGATACCCGCGAGATTCGAACTCGCGCCTCCGAAGAGACCAGGACCTTACCCTGGCGCCTTAGACCAGCTCGGCCAGAGTACCCAATTCCCAGTTTTCGAAAATTCGGCTTTCTTTTATAATGATTTCTTAAAAATCCTATTTCGTTCAATATTGAAGTTGTTGAAAACTAGTGAACACCAAGCTTACCAAGAACCTGCAAGGGTCAGAAATGAAGTCCCGCCGGATAAAGGAGTCGATTCCGAGTCTCCTGGTGAAAATCTGATGATTATTGACCAAGATATGGACGGAGGCGAAAATGTGGCAGTTGTTGATTCTCAGGAACGTGGAATCAACACAGTTGGCCGTAACAACAATTTGGAACGTACCAAAGACCCTAGTCAACCTCGTATGTCATACAGTGAAGCTGCTGGAGCTAACAACGAAACTGCTAGAGCCAGCAACAACCCCAGAAAGAAATCAAAATCAGGATCTGAACTTCCTGAGTTAACTGATGAATTAATTGAAAAATACAAAATTGGAAAAGACAGAGATGAATTCCTTGCTCAATATTACGAAAAACATTTCCTTTCAAAGTTAAACCCTTTACAGCAACAAGGACACATTGAACGGATGAATGAGACCTCCAAAGATATCAAAAATTTTTATTATGCAGAAACGTACAATCACAACCAAATGAGTATTAAACTTAAAAATCCAAATGACTGTTACACACCTCATGAACTTACTCGCATCATGTACCATCATTGCTTAAGCAAAATCCAAGAGATTGAGAACGACCTCACATCTAATCTTGATAAAATTAACAAATTACAAAAAAAATTGGAAAAAACTAAAAACGATAAAAAAGACCCAGTAAACCAAAATAAAATCAATCAATTAACCGAAGAAGAGAAAACAGATAATAGTGACTATGGTCAGGCAATGAAACTCCAAAACTTAAGAAGGGCCGAATTAGAATATTTGCAAATTATTGATGTTGCTGTTGAAAACTCCCAAATGATTACGGTAGCTACTCCATTTTTTCAAAAGATTCAACAAACCTTAAATGTCAAAGAATTCATTACCGCAGTAATGAGCGAACCAATGTTAATTCCTGACGAACTAGTACAAAGAGAAGACAATGATTCTATTAGAAGCCAACCACTTAAATTGATTCCAGTTGAACAACACCAAGATCAGTTAGTCTTAATGAATCTCCATTGTAATGGAGCTTATAGCAAATCTTGGGATAAATTATTAAAAGAACACTTTCCAGAGAAGAGTCCTCCGGTGGTTCTCAAATACCATCTCCACAAGCCAAGCAATAAAAATCAAGTATTTCAACCTTTTGCACAACAAATTAGGGTTGAGCTCCTTGTCTCATTAACGGACCAAGTCACACCCACAAAGGCTAAGAAACACACAGGATCAAAATTGAAATAATCTCACATCTCACACACTGTGGATTATGCAAAACGACTAGCCATCTGCGCTTCCGTTGCCCCAACCATGAATGTGGCCATTGCTCTTCACCAAACCACTATGCTGCAGTCTGCCCAATTCGTTTAGCAAAGAGAGATGCTCGTATCCAATCATCTAATCAATCAACTTTGCAACCATCATCTCAACAAACATCAAATCAACAACCCATTACAACCTCAATCCAACCCACCACTTCATCCCAACCTATCTTAAACAAAAATAATGATGAAAATAATCCAACAAAAACAACTCCTAAGAAAAATGTAACTATCGATGAAACCGCAAACCAAACTTATATTATTGACAAAGAAGGCTTCAGAAGAGTTCTCTCAAAAACTGAAATTAGAGCCATTAATAAGGCAAGAAAACAACAACAACAGCAACAACAACAACAACAACAACAACAACAGCAACAGCAACAACAACAACAACAACCAAAAATAACACTGATATTAACTAGACCAACAACTTCCAACAATACTTCGAGCAATACTCAACCCACCATCAATGTCAATCCAAGAAATGAACAACCTATCACATCATCCCCCTCTCAATCCTCTTCAACTCCAGAAGAAACCGCACAAGATGTTTTAACCGTTCCTTCCACATCCCAACTAATTAGTAAATGGCAACCCACAGAAACAACTGAAACCATATTAACAATGAATATGGATTCAGACGACGACAAGAAAGATGACGACTATGATATGTCTGATTCACATTCTTCAAGCTCATCTGATTCATCAAACGATCCTTCAGATTCCGATCAAGACATGGGCACTGATGACATAGACGCTGATGAGCAAACAAAACTCATGGAAGAGGCTAATACTCCTCTTTCATCTTTACAATCAACTAATTTATAATGAGTACCGTGTCGGGTCCTACTCGGTTGTCTTCAACTGAGACATACACTAATCCAACATCCGAACAACCAAAAACTACACTAAATCAAATATCCATCCTTCAGATAAACCTTGAAAGACACAATACCAAATACAGTATCTTAAAAAACCTATCACAACAACATCACATTATATTATTATCTGAAACTCAATTTGGACCCAAAAAATTACCATTATTAATTAAAGATCTAAAAAACAAAACATCAATTATTCATCCAACACATTTAATCGCAGCAAGCCACAATTCAAAAACAGCCATAACATCACGATACAGACCAATTGAACGCGACTTCCTAAGTAAAAACTTACCACCACCATTCAACAATCACCTTACTGATTCATTATTCACAATACAACAAGAACACTACCTTATTCTTTCAATATATGTTCCATCCAAAGACCACAAAACAAAACGAGAATTTTTGGAGCATCTAAATCCCCTTTTGAAGGAATATCACCAAGAATTAAATCAAAAATATCAACACCTCCATCTCATAATAGGAGGAGACTTCAATTTCACCATGAATGAATTGATTGACAATCTACCAATCCATTCGCAAACTACTTCTGAAACACCACTTCACCTTAAATCAACAATGCAGGATCTAATAAATTCAACAAATATCATAGACAGCTTCCGTCATATTGAACCCTACAAGCTTGTCATAACAAATCATCATCACTCAACCAGCAAACGTTTAGACCGAATTTACATCAGCGAACATTTACATGAGCGTCTTTACCAATTCAATATCCACCGTAGCATTATCAAATCCACCCATGACGCCACCTCAATCATCATCACGCCTGTAAAAGATATCATTATTAACATTGGTCCTAAAAGATTCATATTTGAAGACAAACTACTACCAATTCCAGAACCAAATCACATTATTCAACCATTCATGACATCAGGAATAGATACATTCATTTCTAGAGCCAGAGGCTATGGCCTCAAAATGAAGAAATTCGAATTTCAACTCTACAAATCCAACTCACCATTAGCAAATCAATCACACCAAGAAGAACCCACACAAATAATGTATAAAACTTTGAATCTGGAATTCAAAGGCAGCAGGACACAAAAAGAATATATCCACGTTATGAGTAATGACCAAGAAACCACCACATCATCAATGAAAATGCTCAATATGACATACAGATACATGCAAGATCTTTACACCAACCCCCTACCACACTATCAACCCAATTACATAGAGGAATACATAGAGGATTTTCCAATACAATTAACACCAAATCAATCATTGAAATTGGAAAGAAAAATAACCTCAGAAGAGATCTTAAAAGCACTATTTAGAATAGATAACAAAAAATCTCCAGGACCCGATGGATTAACGGTGAATTTCTACAAACACAACTGGGACATAATTGCTCCTTATATCACGAACCAACTCAATAAGGTCATGACTTCAGGTATCCTACCGTATCTGATGCAAGAAGTAATGATAAGAATAATTCCAAAACCCAAAAAGAAATCCAATCACGTCAAAGATTTTAGACCCATTGCATTAACTAATATTCTAACAAGAATTCTATCTAGTATAATCAACGATCGCTTCCGAGAACTTCATGATACACTCATCTTACCTTCACAACGAGGCTTTCTTAAAGAGAGACAAATTGACGAAAACATAATGGAATTCTACAACATACTAGACCTCACCACCAAACAACACTCACCGCAACTTCAACTACTTATGTTAGATCTTAATAAAGCATTTGATAGAATTAGTCACGAATACATTTACTACCTTCTCCAGAAAATTAAAGTAGGCAAATACATGAGAAGACTAATCTTGTCTACGGTCACACAATTAAGAGCATCAATCATCTTAAACAATTTCCAATCACCTTCATTCAAAATCAACATTGGTATCCTACAAGGTCTTTCATTTAGCCCAGTTCTCTTCAACTTGTGCCTAGAGCCCTTTTTCCACAAATTAAAACGAGTTACCCAAGGTCTTTCTTTACGACTTTCGCAACATATTAACATTCAAATACAATATCAATCATTTGCGGATGACATGAACATTTACATGAATACAACTGAGGAACAAGAAAATGTTATGCGAGAACTCAGACTTTTCGAAATCGCCACAAACAGTAAAATCAGTGAAGAGAAAACCAATTTATACTACTATTCATCAACAGCACCTTCAAACAATCTACCATTTGAACAATTATCTATCCAGACTCAGGACTTTAAATATCTAGGTATTGAGAAGAAAGGGACTAACTGGGACAAACAACTAGGATTTCTCAGTCATATGATCCCCAAAAGTCTAATAGAGGAATGGCCAATCACCTACTCGACAATAGCCATAAACCTGTATATCTATTCAAAAATATATTATCGAGAGCTCCATCAACCGATGTCAGAAAAAGCGCTCGACAAATTTAATGCCAAATTATCCAAAAAGTTTTATGGGATCGATTGGGATACCATTATCACTCCCCAACAATTAGGAGGATACGGCCTTCTCGACCTTAAACATCAGCTTATGGGCCGAAAAGCAACCCTCATCTATCAACTACTAACCAGTACAAACACAACTCCCACCATTATTATGTTTCGTTTTAAAATTCAATATGTCATCCATTATATGATATCAAAATCTGATTTAGAATTCAACAACAAAATAAAAACCATACCATGGTATTCAGTATTAATGGGAATGAGGATTCATCGACCAGATATTGAAGATTTCTATGCGACATTTCAATATCATGAACACTTTACTCAAAGTGAGCGATCAATCCTTCAAGCATGGTTCTCATTAGTCTATACCAAACATCCCAACACCAATGCCTCATTCATTGAAATCGATCAACACGATCTAAGATCAATCATCACACGACCACCAGATCCCATGTTAATCAATCGGTATCTCATGGACTTAGACGAACAACCCCTAAAACCAACAACATTTACATCCACGTCGACAAAACATTATCTTCGACAAAACAAACCAATCGCGGCGGAACTTATTAGTTATGAATTTGGGCTTACCACAGCACATTGGTTAAAGTACTGGAAGTTTCAGAAAAAACTCAAGTTTACCTACAGTGGAGAAATTGAAGAGCTACACAGGTTTCATCTCGGCCATTGTAGTTATTTAGGTTCTAAAACCACAAAAGAACCACATCCACAATATCCCAACAAACATGTCCCTTTCTGCTTACTTTGCTTGGACCAATCCATCATTAATCCCGGATCCAACCATATATATCAAGATTGTGAAGTTTCAAAGAAGATATGGAAGCATTTTTCACCAGATCAACATTTCATATTAAGAAACATAATAGGGACCACTCACCTCAATCCCAACACATATTTAACAGTAGACCGTTACATCAAGACAATAACCTTCCTATGGAAAACCCGACGACGATACAAAAGAGCCTTACGTCCATTAACGGACAAGAAGATTCGATCCATCATTAAAACGGTCCCAAATGTAATACATAAATATTAAATTATAAATAAAAAAAAAAAAAAAAAAAAAAAAAAAAAAAAAAAAAAA